TGTTGTGTTAGCATGGTGGATTGCTTAACTGACTGATCTAATTACAGAAGGTAGGAATGAATTGCAGAAGTCGTGCTGATGCCAGAGCAAGTGTACTCCTTGGTACTGATAGTCAGGAGACCTGGGCATGGGGAGGGATGGGCAGCTGCGCCTCAGATCCTGCTGGGTCAGATGCACTTTTATGGCTGAAATGGAGTCTTTGGAGGTTATGAGGAGTGGTTGGTTGGCTTCTCTCCTATCCATGACTGCCTTTGGTCTTCTGGGAGCATTGTGAAATAGAGGCTGTTTGGTGAAAGCAAGCAATTGACAAGCAAATGTTTACTTTGCAGAGTTATAGAACTATTCTATAGAAATACTTGCATGTGTTATGAACTCAGTAGACTCTGCTCTCTTCCCTTCCGAGAGCCTTTCTGAAATGGCAGCAAAACCCTCCCTGTAGCAATAAGAGAGATAGTGAGGCTGTTTGGATTCCACTGTGGAAGAGGCAGGGTGCAGTGTGAGCAGCTCTGACCTTGGCCTTGCATTGTGGATGGGGCTGGAATCTCATCCCGACGTCACTGCTCCACCAGTTGTGTCTGTGTGCACTCTGCTATCTCCCTTCTTTGGGTTTCTGGCAGTCTGACTCTTGCCATATATTGTACAAACTGCCTCAGTGTGTTTTAAGCCCTCTGCAATGCTCAGTACTTATTTTCTAGAGCTCTGCAGCATAGGGGGAGCAGCAGAGCCTGGGGGTGCAGCATCGCACCCTCACAGTGCCTGCAGCCGCTCTGCCCCACACGAGGCTGCCTGCTGCTGAGATCAGCTGTGGGCACTCTGCCTGTAAGTCCTCCGCTGCTGGCTCATCACTGTGTCACCACCAGTGTGTTCTGAGAACCCTCTTAAAAGGTCTCCTAGAAACCAGCTGGAAAATAGATCATTAAAGGTACCATCATTGCAGTTCCTGCTCCCATTTTTTATGTTACATTATTTTCTTGCATTTTTTTTTTTCTCTCTTAAGATGAAAAAGAAAAGGCAAATTGGCATCTTTTTATAACCCCGGGCATTCCTGGCAGATGCTTTCAGTTCAGTGGGCAGTGAATGTAACTCAGGCATAGGAGCACCCTGCAGGCTGCGCCGCTCCAGCTCACATCTCAGCTCTGTTGTGCCCTCCGAGGAGCAGCTACTGGAACATCAATCTTCAGACATGATTGGCACTGGAGGTCAAAGCCTTCCCGAGTGCAGACCCCTGAGGGCAGCAGAGTTACGGCAGGGTTAGCTTTCAATGCATGTCCCGTCCCCGTCTCCACGCAGACCTGCGCAGCGTGGGGCTGTCGGAGAGCCCCGTCTGCCCGTGGGCACACATAGGGGCACCAAACACAGGTGTATGGAGCCACGGTGGAACTTGCAGGACTTCTCTCAGGAGGAACTATTCAAAACTGTGTTGTCGTCTCGTGCCATTCAAGCCCTGACTGCTAACCTACTTTGCAGCTTTAAATAATTAAGCCTCAAAAATATTCCAAGGTCTTTTTGGTCCCTCCTTCTGTCATCACAACAGCTGTTCCTGTGAGAGTCCCTTTTGCTTATTTCCTGCCTGAGATACACAGCGCAAATAACAGAAAAGGTCTTACAAAGGGAGAGAAATTAGTCCTTTTCACATTTCTAATTGCATGTAGAGGACAAAAAGGGTAGCTGACACTGAAGGAGAGGTCTAGCATTGCTGGAATCTGAGCAAATGCAGGATGAATAAGACATTTTTAGCACAGCTTTTGTATCACCCTGTTGTTCATTTCTTAGCAGCTTTTCCTTATGGCAGCAGCTGAGCCCCACGGTGATGCTGGTTGGGCTGTGGTGCTGCCAGGCCCTGGGAAGAAGTGGTGGTGATGCAGCCTGGCTGTGCTGGGCTGGGAGAGTGCTGGGGGTCAGGGGAAGGTGGGGGGGAAGGGAGGATGAGATGGGAGGCATTTGTTGCATCTACATGCCTAAACCAGGCAGGAGAGTTGTAGCCAGCTGTAAGGAGAGAGGGGCCTGGGTGGAGCCCTGAAGGTCCGGAGGGGTGAGGAAAGGCTCTGCCCCAGAGGGAGGTGGTTATGGCACAGCTCCCAGACAGCAGGCACAGCCCTGGGCTCAGGGAGTGCTGGGACACAGCTCTGACAGAGGGTCTGGGTGGTGCTGTGTGAGGCTGGGGGTTGGACTCTGTGATCCCTGTGGGTCCCTTTCAGTGTAGGATATTCTTTGATCTCCTCCATTTGATCAGTAATTCAAAGCCCTGGAAGTTGTTTGTTTGGAAGGGATACTTTAGCAGCATCTCCAGATGAGTCACTGATGCTGATTACTATTGCTGAAAAGATGACAAATGACTCAAAATGTTTGTTTCATGCCTTAAGAACGAGGGATAAAATGGCTGTTCCACTTATTAACACCATCTAGGTAGGATTTGTGTAGCTCTCCAGTGTGGAATATAAAATAGCATCGGTTTTGAAGGACAGAAATGACAACAAGATCAGAGGACAGAGAAGAGCCCGAGTTCTGATCTCACCAAACAACTGTGCCGTTTCATACATTTCATACTTCACTCCTTAGGAGTTTATTACAGACAGACGCGTTTCAGTAGGCACAGCCATCATGTCTGCGAAAGGCACACTGCTCCAGTGTGCTGTAAGCAAAGCTGGCCTTTGCTTGTAATTAAACATCCCGATTAGTCATCCATGGAACAATAGCACCAGCCCCTCGAGACCTGTCTGCATGGCCAAGTATTTTCCAATCTGTGGAGTGGTTTAAGCGAATCAAATCTCTTCATCTGCTCATGAGGATGAGGCTTTTTCTCACTTGCAGCCTCTCACCTCAGTCCGATTTGTATCTGTTCGGAAGTCAGACAGAAGAGAATGGATATTCTGAACCAAAGAAGCTGCTCCTGTTGCCAGAGTTAAAATCTCTAAACAAAAGATTACGGCCAGGCAGCTGCTCTGGTGAGCAGTATGTACTGCTGGCCTTGCTGCAGTTCTCCTCCGGAGATGTTGGTCCTTGAGCTCTCCCAGTGGAAGCAGTGTTAGTGCTGTCAGGGAGCTGTGTGTGAGCACAGGTTGCACAGTCTCCGTGTTTTTTGGGATTGCTGTGACCTGTGAGGTTGCCCCAGGGAAGCTGCACTGTGCCTTCCAGCGCTGCCTCAGGACCGAGTGAGTGCAGGCAGCTAGAAATGCCTGAGGAGTTGCAAACTCAAGTGGAAAATTTGGTGTTTGGGACAGACAAATAACACACATATCTTTCCTTAATTAAACCTTCATCTGGCCAGCCACTTCTTCTGCATGTCAGATGTCCTCTGGCCTGAGCCATGTGCAGAAGGGCAGAGCTGCCTGCAGGCCTTGGGGACAACACACAGGTTAGCCTGGGACAGGGGCTGCCTGCCAGCACTGCGGTCCTTTGCCCTGGGATATGTGCTGATGCTTCACCCTATAAGCCAATCAGGACCTTTCCAAGTGCAAAGATCTTTACACAGTAAGCTCTGGCACTGAGATATTCACTCCTGTCCGCAAGCATTCAAACTCCAGAAACTACAAGCGCACGTATTTTCAACCAGACAATGGCAGGGACCTATTGGTAATTGGAAGCCAGTTGCCCAGCTCAGTGTTTTTACGAAGTCAATTTTAGTAAATAAATTAAAATGCTACTACTTGTCATGCTGCCCCGACATGCACCAGCTTGCAGTTCTGTAAATCACCTCTCCCATCCCTGTGCCTTTTGTGCAGCAGCTTCCCATCAGATCTGGTGGGGCAGCAGCGCGGCACAGGGCACCGTGTGCCAGAAGCCACCAGGGAAAGGCTTTGGGCACACAGGTGAGTAAGGAGATGTGGCAGGCCTGGAGTTCTGTTGGGATCTGCCTGGGTTGTGCAAGGGCTGCAGAGACTCCTTGTGCTTTCCCAGCAGAACTTGGAAAAGGTTTTGTTGAATGTGGGAGATGGGGGAAGTGGCAGCAGGCACAGAAGACGCTGAGCTTCCCTGGGTCTGTGCTGTGCACCTGCTAAGGGCTGCTTTCTGTCCCCATCCTTGTTTCCAGCCACCCAGACTGAAAACCCCAAGGAGGACATTCAGGCTACTGAGTAGGTGAGAGGAAAATAGGAGGCTCAGCAATCTGCGCTCACCCATTTCCAGTATATAATCACAGCAATTGCATGGTCAACACTGTGTGTTATATTTTGGGATCTGGGGGTTGTTTCCAGCGTCTGCTTGCCAGCTGGACATCTCTCTGGCTCTGAGGGGCCATTGCAGGGCAAGGAGCAGATGATATTCCCAGTGCACTGTTGCAGCAGGGAGGAGAAGAGATACAATGCCTTTAGTCCTGGGATGGGTATAAACAGGAGTCTGCTGGAATGTGTTCAGAGCACTGCTTAATATTTTCAGCAGAGGATTCTGACTAGCTTAGTAGTCGGATGAGGAAGGCATCAAGGAAATGAGTTCAAGCCAGCTATTGCTGGGGATTCAGAGAGGGAATGAGTAGGAACTAAGCAAGGACAAAAGAAAAGGTTTTGAGTTTGATGGCTTTGTAAAAACTGATCTGTTTTGATTAGGAATCAAAAGGATAAATTCATCTGTAGCGATGTGACAACAATGACTGTGTGACAACGATATTGGATCAGCTAGCTTAATGAGTGTGCAAAGTAGCTTAATGAGCATGGATAAACCTTTCTACAGAAGCCAAAATCACACCAGTAGTGCAGCAGCCAGTGTTGGCCGTCTCCCCTTCCCAGGCTGTGCTGTCACAGTAGCTGCACTTTGCCATTCGCTGTCACACGTGTACCTGGGATGGAGGCAGGAGTCACCACCCGCACGCTGCTCTGTGTGTGAGGAGCTAGGCTGCGCTTTGTGATCTCATGCCTTCTTCCTGAGCAGCCCTTGGCTTATCATGGCACCGAGACGTGGGGTTTTGCCACGAACCTTCTTCCAAGTGCCATCCGCTGTGCACACCGTATCTCATCCCGACCTCCTTGGCTGACCCTTCCCTCGTCCTTGCTCTCTTCTCTCCGCAGGCTGGAGGCTGGCCGGGAGCACATCCTGCCCATTGACTATTACTTTCCACCTCAGAAGACGTGTTTGATCTGCGGCGATGAGGCGTCCGGGTGCCACTACGGAGCCCTGACCTGCGGGAGCTGCAAGGTGTTCTTCAAGCGGGCGGCTGAAGGTAACACGGAGGGAGGGGCGGCCACTCCACCTCCCAGTGCTGGGTTTCTCCAGTAAAGCAGCCTGACTCGCAGCTGCTGAGCTCTGCCACCTGCAGGGAGGTCATTAACGATGTGTGCTGAGGTGTTTGCTGCATCGTTCGGTTTTCATTCTGCTGAAAAAAAATCAGCAGCCTTACTTAATTTGTGAATCGCAGACAGAGGGTGGTGGTCAATGGCTCTGTGTCCAGGTGGAGGCCGGTAACAAGTGGTGTCCCCCAAGGGTCTGTCTTGGGACCGGTGCTATTTAACATCTTTATTAATGACATCGATGAGGGAATTGAGTGCACCCTCAGCAAGTTTGCTGACGACACCAAGCTGAGTGGTGCGGTTGATACGGTGGAAGGAAGGGATGCCATTCAGAGGGACCTCGACAGGCTGGAGGGCTGGGCTCGGGTGAACCTAATGAGGTTCAACACGGCAAAGTGCAAGGTTTTGCATTTGGGCCGGAAGAACCCCAGGCACCCGTACAGGCTGGGAGGAGTGGGCCTTGAGAGCAGCTCGGCAGAGAAGGACCTGGGGGTCCTGATAGACGAGAGACTGAACATGAGCCAGCAGTGCGCTCTGGCAGCTCGAAAGGCAAATGGGATCCTGGGCTCCATCAGGAGAGGGGTGGTCAGCAGGGAAAGGGAGGTGATCGTCCCTCTCTACTCGGCTCTTGTGAGGCCCCACCTGGAGTCCTGTGTCCAGGTGTGGAGCCCTCAGTACAAGAAAGACATGGAGATCTTGGAAAGGGTCCAGAGGAGGGCGACTAAGATGATGAGGGGGCTGGAGCACCTCCCCTATGAGGACAGGCTGAGGGAGTTGGGCTCGTTCAGCCTGGAGAAGAGAAGGCTGCGGGGTGACCTCATTGCAGCCTATCAATACCTGAAGGGAACCTACACCCAGGAGGGGAGTAAACTCTTCAGAAGGGCTGACAACAGCAGGACTAGGGGAAATGGATCCAAGTTGAAGGAGGAAAGATTTAGGTTGGATGTTAGGGGGAAGTTCTTTACAAGGAGAGCGGTTAGGGCCTGGAACGGGCTGCCCAGGGAGGTTGTGGATGCCCCGTCCTTGGACGGGTTCAAGGCCAGGTTGGACGGGGTCCTGGGCAACCTGATCTGAATGTGTGTGTTTGGTGTCCCTGCTGGGCAGGGGGGTTGGAACTACATGATCCTTGAGGTCCCTTCCAACCCGGGTGATTCTGTGATTCTGTGATTCTGTGATTCTGTGAATCTTCTGAGCCAAGGGGGCAGAGAGGAGAGTGGTGGGATGGAGTGTGGTGGATTTCTGAGGTCTCCTAAACCTAGGAGTTACTTAAATGTAAGGGAGAACCTTTGAGTATAAACAGACCTTGTTGCTACATGACTGTAAATCTATTTTACAGATTGCTCTCAGGAAATAACCAAACCATTTTGCACTTTGCATGGAGTCCTGTTTCCTTTCCTCCATCACCCATGCTGGGAGTGGCTCCTTGGAACTGCAGAGGACACTCGCATCCTATTGCCAAAATATGGCTGTCCAATAGAATTAATAGATAATGGTTGGCATTTTTCCCACATAAATCGTTTACAAATGTGTCTCTACACCAAATTTGTGCAAGGCCAAATGGATTAGCTGTGCATCCAGAGTAAATAACAGATGCTTGTTTAAGTCAGCAAGTAATTGTTGATTTATAGTAAGTGGAGACTTGGCTGTCTGTCAGATACACTGCTGAAGAAACATTCCTTGTCGGAGATATGCTGCAGCTCTGCTCCTCCTGCACAGAGTTCTGTCCTGCTCAGCACAGCACTGCATGGAGCAGGATGCAGGGGGAAAGCAGGCTGCAGCCTGCCCTGTTTGCACTGTTCTTAAACCATGCTCTGTGTCGTCATTCCCTTTCTTGTCTGTCTTGGATCATGAATTTTAAGAGCGTTTGCACCCCTTCCTGCTTTCTAAGACTTGAGGTGTTGCGGAAGGTTAAGGTGTGTTGTTGCTCTGGGGTCCAGCAGTGGTTGTGCTGGAGGGGGTCCTGGGGGTCCTGCCCCTGTACACAGAAAGCTGCAGGGAGGAGTGGGGGCTGCCTCCTGCTGGGGGCACTCACAGCAGCAGCACCTGGCTGCTCTTTGCAGCACATAAAAATGGAAAAGAAATCCTTTTGCAGGTTCAGATGCCAACTGCTTTTGTTCCAAGGGCAGGCTTCGGCCTGTGGCAGGCACAGAGCTGCTAGCTGATGTTCCATGAGCAAGATCCCCTGGCCTAGGAGCCAAGTGCCGAAATGTTTCCCTCTGGTCCCTCTATCAGGCAGAGGTCCCACTGTGTATCAGGGAGTGGATGTCCACTGATTTCAATGCAACTTCCATCATTTCCTTCAGAACAGACTTCTGTGTTGTTTTTATACGTGGCAGATCTCTACATGGAATAAACCCCTTTTCTGGGGATACTTTCTTTTTAAGGATGGCAAGTGATGAGTGCCTTATTTGCAAACATGGCACAGCGCTAGGGAAACAGAGGGGTGGCAGCTGTGGGGCAGCACCACTCTTCTGGGCTTGGGCTTCAAGCAGCAGAGGAAAGCACAGCGACAGCCTGGATAAATGGCAGCAGAAGATGAGGGAGCTGGGCAAGAGCAGGGAGCCACAGCTTGACAAACAGGGAGGCTGTGGCACCCAGCTCCTGTGGATAGCAGGGCTCAGTCCTGGGGCTGCAACTTCCCACGCAACTTCTTGCAGCTTTGTTCCTATCTGTGTGTCTTCCCTGCTTCTGTGGCTGTTTCCAGCTTCAGAAGTGGGGCAGGGAGGTGTTATGCAGGAGTACTGGAAGGTGGCTTATATGGGCTTAACACAGTCACAGGGAAAGTGCAGTACCACTCTATTTTGTGCCCAGTGGTCTTCAGCAAAACATGCAACGTAAATGCATTTTGCTTACTGAGTAATTAGATCTAAGGAGAGAGGCAGTTTATTTTACTCCAAGATACATGGGTAGCATCTTTATTTTGGGGAATGGACAGTAAATCAGACTTGTTTATAAATACTGAATGTTGCTGGTTACTTTCCGGCCAGATGTTGCTTAGTTAAATCTGAGTACCGTTGAAAGCTGATACTCGGTGTGTTCCTATGTCTTGCAGTCCATAAAATGAATTTCTGAAAACCTTTGGGCGCTTTTGGGGACGTTTTACAATGGCAAATTGGAAAGCTTCTCCAGTGCTTTTGTTTCCTTCCTGATTCTAGTGTCATTAGTTAGGAAAGGTCAGAAAAGCAGCGTGCTACAAACTGAAGAGCAGCACGAAGAGATCACCTTAGAGAGAACAGGGAATAGTTGGATACATAGGTTTTAGTTTCATCACGGCTCTTGGGGTAAAACAGTACTGGACTTATTTTGCAATAGTTCAAGGGTGTTTAATAAGACTTTATGGGCATGCACTGGCTTAGGGATTAGAGAAGTTTTAAAAGAAGAAGTTATAACATTGTTTTTCCTCTTGAAATACACTGAATCCAACCAACTCTTTGAGAAAGATTCTGGGAGAATGAGGGAAGGGAAGGGAAGGGAAGGGAAGGGAAGGGAAGGGAAGGGAAGGGAAGGGAAGGGAAGGGAAGGGAAGGGAAGGGAAGGGAAGGGAAGGGAAGGGAAGGGAAGGGAAGGGAAGGGAAGGGAAGGGAAGGGAAGGGAAGGGAAGGGAAGGGAAGGGAAGGGAAGGGAAGGGAAGGGAAGGGAAGGGAAGGGAAGGGAAGGGAAGGGAAGGGAAGGGAGTATTTTCCTGGTCTCCTTCTGTCAGCTGCTTTGATTCACAGCCTCTCTCAAGCCGTCCAGGTTAAATATAGACAAGCTCTAAAACCGCTGCTGCAGATTCTCCAGCTCTGATGTGGACTTTCCACACTTGCAGTCCTGATAGCCTCATGTTCTGTAGTCAGAAACGGCCTTCACCTCTCCCTGTCTGTCACCCTCTTTGGCTGGGGCTCAGAGCCCCACCAAGTTCTGCTGCACACTGCTGCCAGGCACAGCCTCAGCCCATGGCGGGCTCCTCCTCCTTCCTCCTTCACCTACAGAACCGAAGATTTGGTGAACAAGAGGCACATCCACCCCTGTGCAGATTTCATTTATCCTGACGCAAATAGGAGGGGCATCGCTCTGCACGATTCAGGTGGCTCTGTGAGCCTGAGGCTTTGGTCCTGGTACAGACAAGTGCTCCAAACACAACACACTTTGAAATCAATCACTATTAGAAAGAACAGAACTGAGTTTTTCTTCAGGTATTTCCCTCAGGAGTTCCTGCTGTACCATCCCATCCCATCCAGGAAAGGAGTTACTTTTCCATACTCTGCTCGCATCCCTGAGAAATGAGAACCTTCCTCATGCCCCCAGGACTGCAGGAGGGCTCATAGCCATCTTGGCCAGTGAAATAGCTGCCTCTGTGTGATACTGCAGGACTGTAATGGGAACTGTTGAGTCACGGCCCGAACCACTGATTGATCACTTGAGGCAAGCACTGAGCCATGAGAGCACACAGCCATGACAGCACAGGTGAAAGCAATTCACCTGTGTGACCAGAAGGGTTGGAGCCTGGCTGCACCTCTCCTGGACCCCATTTAAGGACTGCCACTGGGAAAGGATCTCTTTCTGGAGATCCCTCCCGTTGGAGTTTTTTTCTGCAAGCCTACGACACGGGTGCGCATTTCATTTAATTTCATTCATTTTGATTATCTCTTTCCACCATGATAATCTTTCTAGTTATACAACCTGTAAAATACCAGCCTAACCACGCCACTCTGCCAACTGTATATTTGTTGATTGTACAAGGACTGTGACTCCACAGGCTGCGTTCTTGATGGGACAGTGAGCTACATTAACAAACAAACAAACCCCAAATCAGATTTGGCAAATTTCCCAGAGGACTCAGAGCCAGGCTGCTCTGCAGTCTGTGGTCATTGCCTTTTGTGCACTGTGCATGTGTTGACCTGGCAAGGACTGGCCTGTCACCAGAGAAATGTATCAGAGCTAACAACAGTTTCTTGCCAGTTTTTGAGGTAGCTGTGAGTTGAAATGAACAGCTGTCATCACTGTATTTTACAATTATCTCTTCTCATTGCCAGTGATGTTATGCAAAGGATTTGGGTCCGCAATATTCTACGACACCATGATGTTACTGCCTCAGTGTCTGGTTTCTCGTGACCCTTTGAGTGTTCTTAACCTTAAAAGTCAATGGAAAAAGAAGAAGGTGGAAGGTGAAATCACAAGCCCTGCAGACATTTCTGCTGCTCTCCCCTTGCCATCCTAGCAGCTCAGTGCAGGGCTTCCCATGGGTGTCTGGCACCAGTGCCACTGGGTGACTGCTCTGCATGAGTCTGCTAGCCAGCAGCTTGTGTGAAGTCTGAAGCAAACTGATAGCTCTGCTCTAGTCTAGGAGCAGTCAGGCATGGCACTGTGTGGAGCTTGAGAGAGGCTAACTTCAGGTCAGCGTGAGTTAGAGCATCACGGATTTATCTTGTTGCCAAGGAGTCAAACAACTACACATCATTTAGCAACAATCCAATATCTCTTGCTGGATTTAAGCATCTTCAATTTTACCTTCTTAACTGTGCATAGTCCTAGAGCTGTTTGATTTTAAGGCTTGTCATTTAGCCTCATCTTGCAGCCCTCTTCTCACTGGACTGCCTCCTAAGTTCAGCTGTTACCTCCGCATGCTGATAGTTTGCCAGTGCCTGCAGCTTCCGTGCTTGCCTATCTGACTGGTGAATGTTCTCACTTGTAGACCACTGGTTTTGGCTCCCTGAAGGGCTTCCCTCCAGCTCTGCCAGCAGGCAGCCCCATGTAGAGCCTGCATACCTTCCAGGTCCCCTCAGGCTGCTGGAATCACAGCCCTGAGAGAAGGGAGCTGGAGGTCTGTGCTGCATCACAGTGGACGTTTTTGTTTTCTTCATTATTGTGGTAAATATGAATGAATATTAAGAAAACTACTTTGCAAAGGTAGTCTTTTAATAGTGGCTTATTATTAATTAATTACAGCAGCTCATGTCTGTGGCGAACACTGCTCAGTCCTGGCTGGAAAAGGAGCTGCCATGGGTGCTGCAGCAGCAGCCCTGGGCTCCCCATGGTGGGGAGAGGGGCAGGGGCTCGGGACGCTGCCTTAAGGGGGACAGTGACAGGATGTGGGCTCTGCTGGGTCATGGGTTCATGTTACCCATACCCAAACCATGTCCACCCTATGCATGGTTGGGATAGGAGTTATCCAGGCTCCCAGGTTTTGCAGTTAGGGAAAAGCATTCCTTTAAGTCCCCAGGCGTTAGGACAAGGCAAGCAAGCAGCTGATTCTCACACAAAGCAGAAGCAGATGCGTGAGCAGTCTTTCCATTACCATTTGTTTCCCTTTTGTTAATGGCTAACAGCTTAAAATAAACAGTGCCAGACTCAGTGTGTACAAATAACAGAAAATTGGTATGTGTCCCAAAGAGCTGATTCTGTGAACCAGGCAGTCGGCTCTCATCGTTTCACCACAAACACCGTGCTGTGACCATTGGGCAACATATTGGCTGGACTTCAATCTTGCATTCCCTGAGCCCACTGGCAGAGAAGCAAAACTGGTAGAGATCTCACAGTGTGCACACTGCTGTGCTTTGTGCTCCGGGTGCTGAGGCTCACTGCCTGTCGGCACCCAGTGTATCCCCATGTCCCCACCATGCCAGCAAGTGGCCTTGGGCTGGTGGCCTGCTGCTCTGCCTGTGGTCTGGGACAGCGTGGGGCCTGGCCCTGGGGTGTCCTTGTGGGGCGCAAGCTGCTGCTGTGCTTCCCAAGTGCAACTCATCAAGGGGAGCTTGACCTCTTGAAGATTTTGAGCTGTTATCATGGCAGCAATGCTGTAGTTTAGTCTAGGGAGGTGAGACAGGGCAGGGGAAGGAGCCAGGCAGGATGGTCATGCGGTGCTCCTGGCACTGCCTTGTGCCCTTGGCTGAGCTGTGAGGCATCCATGCTCTGCCCGGAGGTCCCAGCCCTGGCTGTTGGACAGCTTTTGGAGTTCTGATGGCCAATAGAGCCTACCAGTGTTGGGTGCTGCTGTGAGACAGGAATCCTGGAGGGAAAGGAGAGCAAAATCAGCTTCAGGCTCTCCATGCCAATGCCTGCAAAAGTAGAGCATCCATTCTTGTTTGATGCAAGCACATAAAGAGGTCAAGTGGAGAGAGGATGGCCTCAGCGCCCGGTTCCTATAGCATAAAAATAACTCCAAGTAACCCAGTTTCAGCTGAAGTTGTGTATTACTCACCGTCTTTGATGAACTGCTGAAAGGCAGGATGGTGCTTGTGTTCCGTGGGATTCTGTGCAAGCTGCTTCCGAGGCCTTTCTGAGTGCCCTTAGCACTGATAATGAGCAAAAGGGGGGGGAATAAGAGGAGGAGCTGATGAGAACAGTATTGAGAGGGTTTAGCAAGGTATCACGTGCTGTTGGTAATGCACTCTCTCTCCATTATTTCTGCAACCTTAACAGCTAAGGCACTGAGGATGGCATCATCAGTTGTTAATGGGAACAGTTCTTAGAAGTTCACGTGTACCCTGCTGTTCCAGCCCTTGGGCACAGCCCTGTGAGAGGAGGTTGTTGTGACACTGCGCCTTGCCATTACTTACATGTGATGCTGTGATCATTACTGGTTACAGGTACGGTTTTGCAGGCGGAGATTGATGGTGCCAGCCAGAAGATACAGATGTGCAGTTTCAGAGTCGTGGGCAGTGTAGGAGGGGTGGAAATTTCCGTGGGCTCCAGCATTGCCAAGATTGCAGAAAACAAATGATTTAATGATTTCTTGGAACCTGGAGAACAATGGTGAAGCAACAAATGATGCCAATAAGATTTATGAGTACTGTGTAGCTGGAAATTGGCCACTTCTTCTCTTTCTCATATGTTAAGACGTTGTGGAGGTGTGTGTGGGAGGTGGAGAGTCATTAAATAAGTGAACCAAAATCAGTGCAGTGTCAGAATGGTTACATTATTCAACCTCGTCCTTTCAATGAATATTTGATGAAATGAAATAGTATTTTAAGTGTAAAAAAAAAACCAAACCAAAACAAAAAAACACTTGCAGGATAATAAATAGCATTGAAACTCAATATAGCCTGATTTCCATTTAATCTGCTCCTACAGAATCTGTAAGGCATATGGCTTGCATTATGAGCCGAGCTGAGTTTGGAATGGCATGAAGAATATCAGACAAATCTTGATCCAGTGAACGTGTTCAGACTTGATACCAAAACAAATTAAGAGTCAGGAAGGGAAGTTCCTTCTTGGTACGTGTAGCAAATGGAGCAGTGAAGAAAATGAGATGAAATCTGGATTTCTGGTGGCTGCTGTCTAAGCACGTGAGAAGGTGAAGCTAAGATACATGCACAAAGTAGCTTCTTCTGATTCTCTTTAGCACCCTGGAAGGTGCTGCTGTGCAGGATCTCAGCAAACACAGCTCCAGTTTTCTCCTGATGGCTGCAAACGCAGTCCATAGGATACAGTTATTGGTGCCAACATGGCGAGACCCACAGCAGCAGAGCTCTGGGACAGCAGCTCCTTATGCTATGAGCTCCCCAGTACCAGTCTGTAAGCTGCAGGCAGCAAGCCCAATTAGCAGGAGTGGGCAGCATCAGAAGTAACTCATCCCCAAACAGCACTGCGAAGGGAATTGTGAGCAGAGAGGGAGCTGCCTTCCAGGGACTCAATTCTGCACACTGCAGAGATGTGCAGCGGTGCCTGAGCAGCTCAGTGGTCACCTGCAGCATTCTGAAGGCTCGTTGGAGGGAACGCTGCTGTCACTAAAGAAAAGAGCCAAGCAAGAGATGAAAGATGTGCAAACCAAACTAACTTTATCTTAGTTATGCTTTGTTAGGATTTAACTGTTATTTATTAATTAATTGGTAGTGGCAATGCTAAGTCATGGCCTGATGTAATGATGGAGCACCTGGTGGGAAGGCAGGGCCAATCCAGGGGAGCTCAGGTGTGTGCAATGCTGCTGAGTGACCAGGAGGGATGAAGCAAGGGATCCACCCCTTCCCAGCCCTCATTTAAGGGCTGGCAGTGGAGGTGAGGGTATCTTGCTGGAGATCCCTGCCTACCTGAGGTCTTCCAAATGTAAGCAGCTTTTTACCTTTGTTTCTGTGTCTGTGACTGCTGTTTTTGGGTTTGTGTTCATTTACCACAGCCAAAGACTTTGCTTCTCTGCTATTATCGCTGTACTTCCCATTACATAATAGCAGAAAGCAGTGCCAGCTGCTCGAAGCTCACTGGTGGCAGCGCTCTGCATGTAGGCAGCGTGCCTTGTGGGAATGGCTGTGCTCACTGTGCTGGCTGGGTGCTTTCCCTGCAGCATAGGAGGCTATCTCTGAGCACCGTGTGCTGCTGCCAGACTCTGGGCTGCAGAGCTGTGAGAAAGGAGAGGCGGTTCTGAGTGAAGCATCTCAGCACTGAGGTGCAAAACCAGCGTTGCTGTTGGCTGCCACGTGAGCCCAGTGGATGCTGAGTGATACTGAGACAACGAGAGCAAGTTTCTCTTTTTGAGTCTGGTCTGCTTGGTGCCCGCCACCCATCTGCCATTCCTTCTGGTGTTTCTAGGTAAGCAGAAGTACCTGTGTGCCAGCCGGAACGACTGCACCATTGACAAGTTCAGGAGGAAAAACTGCCCATCCTGCCGCCTGCGGAAGTGCTACGAGGCAGGGATGACTCTTGGAGGTACGTACGGATGGTGTCTGTTGGCTCCTGCTGTGTGGTTATGTGGGAGTGAGGCTGATGGACCATTGGGAGCTTCTGGAAACAGCTGCATGTTTCTACTACCCAAACATTAACTTCGTTATGTCTGTGTTTCAGTTTCAAGAAGTGTTCTTTTCCTTAATTTAAAACCTCATGATCTGAAATAATGTCTCAGCAACCGGGTGATTGGGTTCTCATCCAGACCAGAGCCTCTTCAAATAGCTTGCTCCCATTTTAATACAATTTTTCACAGGCAGAAGTAGGGAAAAGGATGCTTTTCTTTATAGAAATTCAGCCCCAGCATTTGAATGGGTGTTGTTGTAGCTCGTCTGTGTTCTCAATCATGTAGCTCTACAAAAACTGGCACAAAATCTGCCATTTTCTGTCCAAAACCTAGAATGTCAAATAGTTACGCTAGCGAGTGTCATGTTCCTGCAAATAGGCCCATTTTATTGCCTGTAATGTCAGTGTTGCCAAATAGAAGTTTCAGCGTGTCCTGGGCTCAATTTTCTTTCTTACTGCCTCAAAAGCGCGCAGAAATTCAAGGTGCTGCTCCCAGCACCACTGCATGGCTCAGCTTTGGGCTCATTTGCTGTGAGGATGGAAGTGGAAAATGCCCCAAGAAATGTGCTGGGGAGGAGAGACCGCAGAGCTGAGTGCAGGGGAAGCACAGCTCTCAAGTGAGATGCAGAGGATGGGAGGCTCAGCACAGCTGGCAGCCCTGCTGTGCCAGGCGTGTCAGCGTTGGGCCAGTGCTGCCGGGCTGTGCAGTTCTGCATAGAGCTGTGAGGATGCAGTGTTGGTGTGAACAATTTACTACTGGAAAAGTCCTGGCCTACAGCTCAGGCAGGAGCTCTGGTTTTAATGTTATTTCTCCCCAGGACTGTTCTTGCAGCTCTGCGTGCTCGCATTCAGCAGACAGGAACCCACCTGCTCCATCCGCGCTGACAGCAGTGGGAAATGACTCTGAAGCAGTGATGGAAGCTCAGCTCCTGGTAGGCAGGGCAGGCAGTGTGCTGCTCTCCTCCCAGTACTGCAGAAGCAGTGTGAGCACTGAACCCCTCCCTTCACTTTTTTTCCCCTCAATTTTTTCCCTGAGCTTTTCGGGTCACCCTGACCTGTTCTGCTCAGTCTGTTTCACATTTGGTTTGAATGTCAGCTTAAAGGCAATTGTTGCAAACATGCCTGCTCTGAGTTTGCCCGCAGTTATTTCTCCCACAGTGGAGAGCCACAGTGTTTGGAAATGCTTCCAAGCTCTCAACAGTTGGGTTTAACTGCTTGTTAATTAGTAGGCACTTGCAGGGTATAATAGAGCTGGGCATGGCCAGCAGAGCCGCAGCTCGGAGTATTTTAATGGTGGGAGGAAGTTGTGCTGAATGCCTTATTTAGGGCTGTCTGCTTTGACACAGAATGGCAATATTTTGAAGCATTTCGTTATTGATTGGGATCACCCTGATCTGAAAGCTGAAATCCGTTAAACAGAATCTTCTCTCTCAACCATCTCTGTAAAGCCAACGAGAGATGAAAGTCAAAAAATAAAAAGCCACCGAAGCAGCGCTGGTGCCAGCCTCGTTAGCTCAGTCCTCCTGGTGCACGGCTCTCTCTCTGTCCCTCCAGCACCTCTCTGTGCTGCAGTTCCAGGTACCTGCACAGATGTGCAGCTTTGCTCCTGCCCAAGCACACAGGACCAGCACTGCTGCACACGCAGGCATGTGGACGCCTTACCCTGCACAGCGTGCAGCTGCAGGGGCAGCAGGACTCGGCCGTAAGCTCCTCCTGCCCTTGGGCTGCTGGCGCATCTCAGCTGTGCTGCGTGAGGCCCCGGGCTGCTCCTGTTCCCAGCACTGCTGCTGCGTGGCTCCGTGATCCCAGCGCTGTGCTCTGTGCTGCTCCCATGCTGGGCAGAGCTCCACGCTGCCACCAGTCATCAGCCGCAGGGCTGGAGGCTGCTGTGAGACGTGCTGGTACCCTGTGGAAGCCCGAGGTGTGAGTCAGACCTGTACTTAGTCCCAGTTCAGCTCTGGTTACCACTGCCAAAATGCTCCTGTCTTACAAACGTTCAATCTTACTGCAAGCATTACTGGCACAGTGAGGTGCTAGCACGTTTTGCAGGCTGTTGTGGTGGTTACTTACACTCACCACTGTGACAGACGTTCCAGGTTTTTCATCCCACCTGTTCTGCGTTTCCGGCAACTGGATTCTTTTATTACAGGTTTGCTCGTCTGACTGAAAAACCACCTTTTACTGAATTTCTGCCCCCTGCAGTGTTTTTTTTTTTTTTGGCTGAGACATAATAACCCCTTAGCCTTCTTCACAGCTATCTAGATAACATTCATTATGTTTTTATGCCAGAGAATATTGCCTATTTTTATTATTTATGTGCCTTTTGAAGTTTGCCATCACCTCGTTGTATTGCAAACACCCCTTTCCCGTATCAGCAGCACCAGTGATAAGAGCAGTGCTGAGGTGCTCCCCAGGTCAATATTTTCTCCTCTGTGAATGGGGACCTTGTCAGTCCTGCAGCCACTGAGCTGCACTGGTGCTCAGCTTTGTGTTTCTCCATCAGCTTTCTGGGGAGTGCAGGATGTTTCTCTGGGTACCTGCTCCCTGGGAAGCAGGCAGAGCTTAGCAGACCTGCTTGGTGATCAGTCCTTAAGGCTCATTGTTACGTTTCCATCTCTGCATTGCCCTATAATTGGCAGAAACGTTTCATTTTCTTTCTGGAATGAATGTAAACATGCACTAGAATGGGTTAAGAGCAACCCTCATAAGGGCAGCCCTGTTCGGTGTCATTTCAACATTTGTAATTACTTTTGAGAGGTATTACCTGGGCGATTCAAAGTGATTTCAGCAGTAACAAATTGACTTTATGTCATTTTAGTTGGTTTGGTTTGTTGGTTTTTCTTTATTTTTAATTTATGTGGGCCAGGCTAAGTCAGATCTCTTATATGGCTCTACTATGCCGGTGCTATTGTAATTATCAACTAAAATTATCCAAATTTAAAACTGCGCCAGAAAGAATAGTGGCAGGATTGACGGGATGGCGTTTTGGTGAGATCTGTGTTGGTTGCTGCTGCTCTGCCCAAAGCTGAAGTTGGATAACAGTGCCTGGAGCTGCCGAGACCTCCAGGACCTGCCTGGAGAAAGGCGCTCTGCCCCCTGGCCCAGCGCTTGTGAGAAGCGAGTGCTGGTAATGCAGAGCTCCTCAGCCAATTCTCCAGCAAGTCCTGGCTGAGAGCCGGCCGAGTTCGCTTCATTGAAAGATGTGGAACTTCCTTAATTGCTATATAAGGGACTCTGCTGTCATTTTGCGATGACTAATGCTTTATCGTGATATTATATAATTATAGTCATCCAAGGGTGTTTTTTTTTTTCCCTCCTCTCAAGTTCATAACATGCTTTATAAGTGAAAGAACAAAGCAGAACCTCAGATGCGCTGCATGTGTGATTTGCTGAGCTGATAACAGCGAGCTGAGGCTTCTGAGCTGGATGTGCCCCCTAAGAAAGCCCAGAGCTTCACACCCTGTGTAGGGAAGGTTTTGCCTGCCTTGGCTTGTCCTGGGACAGAGGTGTAAGAGAACAGATGTCCTTAAAGAGGAAATCAAACCTGGGTATCTGTTTGCTGCACAGTCACCAAGGAAGTAACAGCATTAATGAGCACTGGAGATGTCTAAAATTAAGGGAGAGAAATCCCTCATCAGATGTTAGTAATGCTCTTAGTGTATTTCAGAGATGCACTCAAAGAGGCGGCTATTTTCGGCGTTCATGCATTTCCTCTCTTTTCAATTCTTGTTCCTAGCAACTACTGCATAGCAGCCGCCACTGGGACGCCTCCTGCTCAGGGGAGGCACTGAAGCAGTCTGTGCACAGTGTGTTAGGCCAGGTACCTGCTCACATCTCAGCGTTTTCAGATTTAAAATAGACGTGAAGATTCCAGCAGGGCCGTGTCAAGGGCTGGGTTTTGGAGGACGACCCGTAGCTCCCAACACAAAGCATCCTACTGAAGGCCACAGATGTCTGCCCGCATCATAACTCCAAGCCTTTCTCCATCTGCTAATAGCAATTCAGCCCTCTGTGGAATAAGAGCTCTGCAGTACACAAACATAAGGTTCCTCCATTCGGAATAGTTATTATCTGACTTCAGTGCTGTCTGTCCTCTCTTCGAGTTTATGAGCGCGGTCTGTGAGCCTGCACTATTATTTGTGTGCTCTTTTCTTACCGCAATTCAATTGAAAATGTTGAAGAAAAAAAAGGGAAAAAAAATTGCAGTATTTAGACTGGGATGTGCATGTGTTCCATACAGCACCGGTTTGGCTTTATAGGTTCCCAGGCCCTTACTGGCACTTCTTGTTTGCCTTTGGAAGATGGAGCTTGGTTGGTTTTGTTTCCTTAAGCCCACGTCTGTGTTCCCCATCGCCCCCCTGCTGCAGGCGGTGCGGCCATTAGACGGCTCTGCTGTAGTGGATGGAGGTGCCCCAGAGCCCCATGCAAACAAACACTGAAGCACATAACGCCACGTTGTAGCCTTGCTTTCCCATTGCCCTCTTTTAATTTTATTAGTTTTCCTCTCCTTTTTCTGCAGAGCAGCCTGCCTTAATCGTGGCAGATCATCCAAAGGCCGTTCCTTACAGATCAGCATTCTGAGCTGATTTACAGAGTTGCTCTCTCAGCTGACGTTTTTATGTTTTGCTGCTTATTTTTCTAATTACAGCTGAAAGGAAATTTGAGATAAGTATCATGTAATGTGGGAGCCAAAACCCCAAGGACAATTGGTTTGATGTTATATTCTCCGCTTGAATTAAGCGATCGGCTTTTTTTTTCCCCCTCTAATTAATTAGGGCTTTTTGTAGTCAGCGAAGTATGAAAGCAGTTCCTTTCAGCAGCCTGCCAATCTGCGCTGTGCTGAGCACTGTCCTGCAGGCACTGGGTGAGGTAGCTGCTAACACTCCAAGAACTCGGAGGTCTGGAGCTCCCAGCGTGTCCCAGAGCAGAGCAGCACTGTAGGTCAGAGCTGGTGCGCCACAACCGGAGCACTTTGTCCATCTGCTGCCTGCAGCCCCGACCCCGTGGGCTCACTGCATGGAATTCCTTTTGATGCTGGCTGATGGGATCCCCACTTGAGTCAATCCTCTTCTCTTTTCCCCATTCTTCTTCTCCATTTCTAACCAGGAGTTAGTATGAGAGCAGTTGTGGCTGCGGATGTAAATGGTGCTTGTTTTTTCCATGTAAGATTAATGAACAAATGGTTTTCTCTGTGCAGTGTGCACTTCCCTTTGTCCACACGTGTTGCCTGTAATGCTCTGCTCTCCCCACACTGTCCATGCTGTGTGCATTGCTACGGCTCATCACTCTCACTTCTGCTGTTAAAACCAACAAACCTGGTGGAACTAGAAGCCAAGAAACCTTAATTTTTTCTAAGTGTTGTGCTAAAGTTTGTCCTTTCCACAGCCCGCAAGCTGAAGAAGCTGGGCAGCCTGAAGACACAAGATGAAGGCGAGGCAGCCAGCTCGTCCAGCCCCACGGAGGAGCAAGCTCCTAAGATGGTGATGACACATGTCAATGGCTTTGAGTGCCAGCCCATTTTCCTCAATGTGCTGGAAGCCATCGAGCCCGCTGTGGTGTGTGCCGGCCACGACAACAGCCAGCCAGATTCCTTCTCCAACCTGCTGAGCAGCCTGAATGAACTCGGGGAGAGGCAGCTGGTCTACGTCGTCAAGTGGGCAAAGGCTTTGCCAGGTGAGGACAGATGGATCAGGTCCCAGCTCTGCCACCATCCCAACAGCTCGCCGTTTGCTGTGTCTCAATGGGGGGCTCACAGGGGTGGTCTGCAACCCGTACCGCAGAGCCATGTTTCCTGGGAAGTGCTCCCATGAGGTGTCTGTCCCTGTAACCTCCCTGTAAGCCAGATTTGTCTTTTGGTGGCTGATCCATGGGAAAGGTGGCCAAGGTGTGACAGTAAAGGCACTCAGGCCTTTGGGTTCTGTCTGTGCTGGCGGTGCCCTGGCACATGGCATCACATGGGCATGCACCATTTTCCCACCACGTGTGAAGGGACGCAGTTAATTAGAGTCTCAGGGTCCTGCTTCCTTTCCATTCTCACTGCAGTGGTTTTGCACCACTTCCAGGGCTGTTTGAATCAAACCTGCAGAATTCTCTGAACAGAAGATAAGCACCTGCACATTATGTTCTGTGGGTGCTGGGCAGTCCTCGTGTGGCCATGGCCCTATCTGCAGGCACTGGGACTGCTGTGGGGCCGTGGTGCCCTTGGCCTCCATCAGAGCTCTGCACAGCTGTGCTGTGTGTGGGGATGCTCTCGCAGCTCACCCCTGGCATTGGCCGTTCTCCTAAAACTGCTGACAGCACCGCTGTGTGCCCCAGTGCACGGAGTCCCAGCAGCTCACTGCTGCCATTCCTATCAGCTTCACTGACCCCAAGCTGAGGCACTGCTGATCTGTTATCTGCAGCTTTCTCCTGGTGGTTCTGTGACACATGCTGACATCAGAGCTCAGCAGTAATAACAGCAAGTTTACCACTTAGTCACCCTCTTGATTTTTTCCGGGGAAGGAGCAAACAATGATGGCATTGTTGCTGTTCTGTGCTCCAGGCTATGGCTACGCGGTTCCTTTGCTCCTGCCACGCTCTGGCTGCTCTGCGGGGAGGTCATCCATGAACAAGGAGTGGTTGGTGGCTCTGGTGGTTGTGGATGACGGTGCGGGCAGCCAGCAGAGCTCCCCACCTCTCCACAGCCTGTAGCGTCCTGTCAGGTACCAGGGATGATCTGCTGGCCAGAAGTTCCTGAAGCTGCCCGTACCCTGATGCAGCAGAGGTGCTTTCTGCCCTGGGATCTGCAGGCTGGTGGGGCGGCCTGACGCCAGATGGGCACAGAAGATTGTGATGTGTTGGAAGCAGTGCAGGTGGAGAAGTAATGAAAATAGAACCCAGCCAATTTAAACCAGTGGGATGTTGGTGTTTTTAGCAGAACAGAAGAATTTGCTGGGAGGCTGCGAGCCTGTAATGAGCATGGCTGGCAGAGTGGGGCCGGGGGCCTGGGGCACAACACTGCCTCTGCCCCTGCTGCCTGCTTGGCACAGTGGCTCTGGCTGCCCCTGCAGAGCAGCCCTGTGCCCGGCGGAGGTGTGAGCACAGTGAGTGCTGTGCTGTGCTGTGCTGTGCTGTGCTGTGCTGTGCTGTGCTGTGCTGTGCTGTGCTGTGCTGTGCTGGAGGGCAGTGGCATCTCCTGCCAGGCAGCATCGGCCCGGTGTCACAGCATTGGATTACTACTGGTAAATGGATGGGAATTAACCTTGCATCTCACCCTGAACCCGTATTCCTGGGGCAGTTAAGAGGTCCAAGATGTTGTTGCACTGCTTACAGCGAAGTTTTAATATCCTAGAGTGTCAGAGACAAGACTGCCATGAGTAGGAGTGTTTCTGAGCCATGCCTGCCATGTCAGGCAGAACCAAACTGCGCTTTCCTTAGAAAGATTAACTAACCACAGCTTGCCAAGAAAGCTTCTGGAACACAGAATTCAAGTTCTGGTTAAGCCCCTGTTTTCCCTTCACTGTATGTATATGAAAATGTTGGTAAGATGTTACTGTTAATTCAGATCAGCACTCGATTGCTTTCATTTAAAAATCATTTTAACTGGCTGCAAGTGGGAAGCCTTAATTCATTCCCAAAGGAGCTGGGAAAGCATTCTGTAAAGAAGGAACTGCTTTGCAGGGAGCAGCAGGGAGGTGCTTCTGACTGGGGCCAAGCTGCCATTGCAAGTACTGCTGCTTGTCGCAGACGTTGCAAATTTTGGTGTGCCTGCTGTGTCAGTTGGGGCCTTTGGGGTATCACAGCCCACCCCTCACTTGTTTTCTGATTCAAATCTGCTGCCTTGCCCTGTGTTTAACCCCTTCTGTAACTGTGAGGATGCAGTGGATTGTGTGTGTTTTTTCATTCTCTGATTATCACATTTCCAAGGTAACAAATGAGCGTTTATTTTTATGGAAATGCTGCTTTAGGGAAACATGAGGTGCTCAATTGTTGATCACTTAGGGAGAAGTAATTCTGACACAGCACTGTATATCAAGAGAGAAGATAAAGAATTTGCTTCTTAGCTTTGCTACTTTATGGTTATTCACAAGAAAAAGATCATGCTTTCATCTCTTTACAATCATCCATAAAGAAAATGTTACTTTTATAGCGATTGCTTTCTGCAGAAGATATCAACATGTGTCTCTTCAGCTATGCCATACCAGAAACTCGGTGATGTATCATGGCCATGATTTTGTGTTTTCCTTTAGCAGTGGTGTTGGCCATACATCATCTGCCATGCCCACAGACAGCAGGCTTCCAGGGAGGGACGGGGATCCAGCAGATACATCGGGAGATAACGCAGTGCTTAGGGGAAAACCAGTCTGAGTGGGTAAGAAGTGCAGCCTGCAGGGGCTCATTGGTGCTGCTGGTGCTCAGTGTGCTGTATGTGGACACAACCCCCCAGAGAGGTCCCCCCCTGCTTGCCCTCGCTCTATTAATTCCCTCTGAGAAGAAGAGAAGTTTTTCCCTCAAAGAGCAATTTAAAAGGGGAGGAAAACAAAGCCTGTTGATTTTGGCAGACGATGATACAGCACACTGACCAAATGTGTGCCCTCATGGCTGTGGCGCCGGCACTCCTTCCTGCAGGCTCCATCTCTGCAGCAGCACAGCTCCTCTGAAGCTGAGAGGGCAGGTGGTATGAAGGACAGTAGCGGGTATGGAGTAGGAGAATATTCCAGCGTGCTGTCATTGTGTGTGACGGTACAGCAGTAGGCAATGAATTCATCTCTGAACAGACATGCTGCATAAGTCAAAAGGTGGTTTTTGCAGCATGTAACACTTAACTAAATACGAGATTCCAGCGTAGATATGTCTTAGAGATGAATATGACTGATTCTGTGCTGCCTGAGCTGCCCTCTCTGTACCCATGCTCTGCAAACACACTGCATGCAGCTCATGGAGATTGCAGTCCTGCCCGCAGGCAGCTGGGAGCCCTGGGGGTGGAGGCACCCACAGGGGGCAGAGGGGATCTGGTGCACACAGGCTGTGCTGTTTGAGCGGGAGATAGGAAAGCTGGAAGGGGAGCAGATGGGCCTAAAGCAATCACAGGCAGCAGTGAAACATCACTTGTGCTCGTTTGCAGTTGACAGCTTTCCGAGCAAGAGACAGATGCTCGCTTCAGTGGAATGTAATTACGCACTGTGGATTATAATTACACCCCAGTGATGTTGGAATTGTTTTAATGTTTGATTGAGATTACATGTCATTTTTCTCAAAATGAGAAAATGGTGACTTTTAAGAGTGCCAAAATTTCACCGAAAAGAAGTAATGATTAACGAGGACTCGGTTCTGCCTCTGACTGTTGCTGTGTGAGGACGATTCCAGGAACTGCCAGAGCTCAGCGCTGATGTGTAACATCCCTCTGCTGTGCTTTGTTTCTCTTTTGAACAGGATTTCGCAATTTGCATGTGGATGACCAGATGTCAATAATCCAATATTCTTGGATGGGTCTCATGATTTTTGCCATGGGTTGGAGATCTTTCACTAACGTCAACTCCAGGATGCTTTACTTTGCTCCAGATTTGGTCTTCAATGAGTAAGTGCCAAATGTCAGCAGTCTGAAATTTGCCTTGCCTGGGTCAGACTGGATGAGAAACGAGAACCAGGCAAAAGGGTTTGCTGTACTGCCCAGTTATGGGATGTGCAGCTGGGCAATTAAGCCCTGGGAGCTGATCCAAGCTAAGAGGGGCTGCAGCAGTCTGCAGGAATGATGAGGACAGATGCAGTATCTCCCTGCGCCTTCTTTCAATTCCCTTGCCATGCCCTCAACAGCACCAGCCCATGGTGGGGGTGTGAGGGGCTGCAGTGCTGCCTGGCTCCTGGGTGGGGGTGGGCGCTGATTCCAGCAGGCTGGGTTGGTTACAGAAGGCAGAAGTGGAGACAAATGCACGCTGTGAGCTCCTCCAGCTCCTGACGATGTCCCTCTGGTGCAGTGTCATGTTTGAGTTGAGCAGGTTTTATCGGCACTGAGGCAGAAAAGCTTACAAACAGTAACTAAGTACAGCAGTGAGTGAAAGCACAACTGCTGTGTGAGGGCTGAGCTCCGCTTCGTGTCCCTTCTGTGTAACTGAGTGGGGTGAGTCGCTGCAGCTGCTTCCAGGAAGGCAGGGGGTCACCCAAACCTGGCAAAGCCGTGTAGCCATCCATCCTCAGACACGCAGAGTTATGCAGGCGTGTTTTGGAAAACCCTCCTCTCCTACCTTCAGGCCTGTTGCTGTCAGCACCCTCAAAGCAGAGCTCAGTCCCGTGCCAGGATTGTGCCAGTGTCCTTAGGCACAGCATGAGCCACCCTCCACCCCCGTGCCCCTTCTCCTCCCAGGTACCGGATGCACAAATCCAGAATGTACAGCCAATGCGTCAGGATGCGGCAGCTGTCCCAGGAGTTTGGGTGGCTTCAGATCACGCCCCAGGAGTTTCTCTGCATGAAGGCTCTGCTCTTCTTCAGTATTAGTGAGTGCTCACGTCCTCCCCTCAGCAGACCTGGGCTGCAGGGAGCAGCGGAGCAGGGCTCCATGCTCTGCACCGACGAAACTCCTTCCCTTCTTCCATGGCTCTCTTCTTCTTTTGGGGCGACTCTGACTGTTTTCCATCCCTGTTCCTCCAGTTCCAGTGGATGGCCTGAAGAACCAGAAGCTCTTTGATGAACTTCGTATGAATTACATTAAGGAACTCGATCGGATCATCGCTTGCAAGAGGAAGAACCCCACCTCTTGCTCTCGGCGGTTTTACCAGCTCACCAAGGTCCTGGACTCCGTGCATCCTGTAAGAGCGCAGCGCAGTGCCCGCCTGGGCTCAGATGGCAGAGAGAATTGGAGCACGGGAGTTTGGGAGTGCAGCAGGGAGGGATCTTGTCCCTGCAAGAGCGTTGGGAAATGGCGTAACCGCCCTTGTAAACATGGACACTGTGTTCATGTTTGTACCTGCGGTGGCTTCTTTAGTTTCTTTTATTGGCTTCTGTGTGTTGCTCATCTCCAGGATGCACACTTCCTGCACACTGCCCTGGCTGCATCCATGTGCTTCCAGATGTGCAGAATGCAGCCCTGGCACAGCCCTGCTGTGCTGCTCTTGCTGTCCTTTCCACAGAAATCATCCAGTGGGGAATTTTTTCCTAACAAACTTTCTTTCTTTCCTAGATTGCCAAGGATCTGCATCAATTTACATTTGATCTTTTAATTAAGGCCCATATGGTGAGTGTGGACTACCCGGAAATGATGGCAGAGATAATCTCTGTGCAGGTTCCCAAGATCCTGTCTGGAAAAGTGAAACCCATTTACTTCCATGCGGAGTGATCTTCCAGAGGGACTCCCAGTTGCATCGCCTCCATCTCAGCCACCTCTGCCTATTGTTTCTGCACTACTGTACTGCAGTGCCTTGGGGAATCCTGTCCAAAGAGATGATGTGCCGCCAGGCAGGCAGTAGCAAACTCCTCCCTGCTGGGGTTCTTTCAATTTCTCTTTTTCCTGTGGTATCTCTGACTGAACTCCTGCCAGGGTCTGGCTGCTCGGTGGCAGGGACACCCTGTCAGCAGCACCTGGGGGTGGTCACTTGTTTATTTCCTGCAGTGACTTTTAGTGCCCTGGGGCTGTGGGAGAGTGGGAGACGTGCCCCCACTTCTTGTATTTCTGTAAACCAAATCAAGGTGAGGCACAGGCTGACTCTCGAGACGTGGGTGTGGGTACCTTTACCGGCCTCCTCTGGGACTTCTTATGTGTGTTATGGTGCTGGGAAGCAGATGTGTTGAATACCGCAGTAGCGCAACTGAGGGGAAGAGATGAATTGCAACCCAATGAATGAGAAACCCCTCAGAGCTGGAAGGCACCCGGCAGTCGCTGCCAGGGCTGCTCGGCCCTATGCTGCTCGGCTCCACGCGTGGCTGCTGGAGGGTGGATGGGCTCTGGAAGGCTCCATTGTCGACGGTGGCTGCTTTCCCCCTGGGGCACCGCTCCCGAGGTGAGCTGGATGTGAGCTGGATGCCGCCCGTTCAGCAGCGCGCTCCCAGCGCTCCCATCTCCCTTCCGATCTGCTCAGACATGGCTGTGCCACCTCCACAAGTGCCTGACGCCTCTCGGACCTCAGACCCTCAGCAGCCGAACCCCTGCCTGCACCTCTCCCTGCTCTGCTCACACTGGGTGCCCGTGCAGCCAGCATCTCAGCTCCATCACCTGTCTGCCATCTGCGTGAGCTGCTCTCCATGGCAGCAGGTGGGAACTCCAGAAGCGAAGCAGCCAGGCCTGGCCCTGTAGGATGGATGACTCTGGGCGTTAGCCCTGTCCCTGGGAGATGGCTGCAGTAATGACCTGTGGCAGTGGTGGCATCCTCCTGTGCTCACACAGAGCTTTCTGGGGATGGAGTGATGAAACGGTGAATGTGGGCACATCGTTTAGAGTGGGACACATCAAAGGTTGATTCTGATGGCTCCCAGTGGTCTGGGACGTTGGGCAGCCCCCAGCCTGCACTGGGTCTGTCTGGCAGGCTGCACTCATGTGGCACAGGCACTGCTTTGCTCCCGCTGCTGCAGAACTCTCCATGTGATAGGGAGTGGGGCAGGGGAAGACATGCTGTGCTCTGTGCCCCCTCAAGCAGCTGTGTGCCAGATGTCTTTAAAAGCAAAGGCAGTGGGTTCAGCCCATTGGTTGCCATGAGCACAGCCTCCGGGTTACTGTGTGGATTCTCCTTCTTCTGGGACCTGTTCAGAGCTGAGCATTACCTCCAGCTCTGTAGGCAAAGCCCATGGGTGCAGCCGGGTTCTTTGCAAGCAGGAACAAGCATTTAATGCTACAGATATTCTTCAATTGTTCTATAGGGTTTCCATTGAGGGAAGAAGTGGAGAAAAACAACACAGGACTATTGAACCAATGCTCTTTCTGTACAGCCATTTGTACTGATATCTCCTCTCCTGGGCTTTTAGTGGCTCTGTTTGTGCTCTTCCTCCTGAGGTCCTCCCATGTAGGTGGGCACAATCTGCAAGTCCCGATGTGCTCAGCAGCCCTCTATTGCTGCACCTTCGGTGTCGGTGTGATCTGTTCATACATGCAGATGAATCAGTGGAAAGCCCTGCTGTGTACTCTTCTGTTCTTGAATGTTTTCTGGCTGTTAGCAGAGGAGAATGATGAATAATGGGCTTGGTAATGCCTTGATCTCTGCTATTAACAGGAGGATGTTTATGATTGGTCTAAATAGCCTCTTTGGAGAGTTTTACATTTTGCATACACTCATGTCAGTAAGGTTTCATTACTTAACTGCATCCTTCTGGGTATTTTTCTACTGGGAGAGGGGGAAGAAACGAAATGTGATAAGGACTTGCATACACCCACTTGCTGCTGCAAAGGGAGCGGGGCTGTGCGGCAGGCTGTGCCCCCAGCTGTGTGCTGCTCTGTGCTCCTTGCTGCTCTGTGCTATGGATGCTCTGCCAGTGTGAGCCCCAGTGCCTATGTGGGGCCCAGGCTGTGCCCTGCAGCTCTTCTGTTTCAAAGTAAATTTCTGCAGTGTTTTTTCCCGTTTTCTTGCGATGATGATGATGGAGGGGTTGCTGGAGGATGGGGAGCCAGGGCAGCAGCACCCGAGTGTTTGCCAGGGGAACAGTAACAGTGTCTCTTGGTTGATTTCCATTGGCTGCTGCAGGAACTGGAGAAAAAAAAAAAAAAAAAAAAAATCAAACAATACCAAAGTCCAGATCCTGCTGTATATCTTTGTACTTTGTGTTTTCTTCTGCATTTTCTTGTCTATTTTTGCTTTAATAAAGGGAAGAGAATCTCACCACCGTCCTCATCCTGTTGCAGTTGACCTGGGGGTCCCAGCTGAGCTCCCATCCCCGTGCAGGGCCAGCTCAGACCCTGGGCTCCCTGGGAAGGCACAGTGCAGCTGAGGAAAAGCAGCTCTGCTTTTACATTGGAAGGAGCTTTCTGCTCAGCTTTGGGAGCTTTGGGAAGGAGCCTTAGCTCGGCTTTGGAGCTAAGCCCAGGCAGTGAGCATCCTGCCCTGTGCATAGGTAGGCAAACAGCAGCGGGTCAGTCCTGGGGAGCTGAGCTCTGTTAGAACACAGAATGGCTTTGCACCCTGCAGTCAGGGCAGTGCTGTTTGCCACAGTCACACAGCTGCCACTGTGGGGATCTCTCCTGAGACGTTTTGATAACAAACTACATGTTAAACGTATGTGTACGTATGCACAGGCATGCCCCCATTTATACTGCTGAAGGTACCTGTTCTATTCCTGCTGGTGAGCTTTCTTTCTGACTGCACACTGAGTGCTCTTGGGTGTTCATGCGGTGGTGAGGCAGCGTGTGCCAATAGTAACAGAAGTTTTGGTTTATTTTTTGGGGCTCTGCACTGCCCAGGTTTCTGAGGCCCATCCTTGCATGGCTGGGATGCAGCACTCTGGGGGTCCCAGTGTCAGCATGCAGCTCTCCTTCCACTGCTCTGGCCTCCAGGGGCGGGGTGGCACCCGAGGGGCAGCAGAGCACCCTTTATCTCTGCTCTCTTCAGCTGCACAAAGCATCCATGCACTTCAGGGCAGAATCTTGGGACTGGGCCTGTTTTCTCACCACTTCAAAGCAGAAATACATTCTTACAACGTAATGACTGCTGGAATGGCTCTGATTCCTGCTGCCTGGTGGGAGCAGCCACAGCCGAGTTGCTGATGCCATCTGTCCCTGGGTGCTGGGAATGGTGCTACGGGGCAACCTGACCTCAGCACAAAGCTGCAGAAATGCTGCCCCAGTGCCACATCTGCAGAAGGTGTGGGCCTCCAGAACAACAGTTCGGGCTGTGAGCTGCCCACAGCCGTGTTCTGGCATCATGGTCACTGCTTTGAGGAAGCCAGGAGAGACTTCTGTTCACTCCTATTGAAAATAGCAGGAAAACCTGCATTTACAATTTGAAAAGTACATATCTGCACCAAACATAAAACCACAGTAAGCTTAGAATAAGCTGCTCTCTGTGCCGGGTGTTTTGTGCTCTGTGGCAGTTTAGTGCTGGTTTATTTGTTAACTTGTCTCTGTAATGAAAAGAGTTCTCTATATTGATACACTTTATTTCCTTTGCAACAAGCCAAAAAGCCCATTGCTGGTGCCTTTCTCTCGGGGAGGACTCCCAGCCCACAGCTGTGCTCACAGCAGTAACTGATCTTTGCAATTGCTTGCTTCACCACTGCTGAGTAAAGTCCTGGAGGAAGCTCTGTGGGATTACCAAAAGAAAAGGAGTGGGGACCCACAGACTCGGCCCAGTTCTACTGCTGGTTCACTGCTGGGTGCTGAGGGCAGTGCTGAGCTTGGGGCTCCTGCAGCACCTCCATCCCATCGCAGCCTGCTGTGCCTGTGCTGCAGTGCCAAACTCTGCCTGCCGCCGTGCCTGCGGCTCCATCACAGCCCGTCTCGTTCTGCAAGGGGTGCAACTCCACTGCACTGCTGTTGCCTTTTCCGTCACTTTGCCCAAATTAATGGCCCTTGAGGCCGAACTCGACTTCTAGAAAAAGACATCAGTTGGACTATTGTCACTGTTTTCACTTTCTTCATTGTTCTTCTTGATTGGAACTTCGATCTGCCCCAAACACACGGAACGCAGAGGACAGAGACCCGTGACACTGCCACAGGGGCTGGGCAGCAGTGACACCTCACTGCCGTGCGATGCAGTGCAGGATGTGACCCCGATACAGACATCACTGTGCTGGGCTGAGTGACACCGCCTGTGTCATAACCAACCAGAGGAGCCCACCTGGGCTCAGGACAAAGACAGAACCCGTTACACTACACTGGGAGCAATGAGACACCCCAACCCACTCCCAGACCCCCGTGAGCCCTCAGCCCGTGCTGTGCCCCACACAGCCCTCCCTGCTCCACACTCAGCTTTTGTGTAACTTCAGATCTGTCGTTCAAAGTGCAATGAAGGCAGAATTTTGTTTGTGGGAGCTGCTGTACGCTGCATTCGGCTTTCATTTCAGTTGTGCGCATAAGAAATGCTGCTTGGTGTGATAAATAATAGGGGTTGAAGATGCCAAGAATAATTGGGTAATTTCAAAATGGATGAGGCTGTGTGTTGGTAATTCACAGAGGCTATTTTTCGCAGTCGGATTTTTGCTATTGATTATCTGAGCTGTTATTTCTTTTACCCATCGGATGACTGATCTCTTCAGATACGCCTCTTTGGGTCTCTTAAAACTAAATTTCATCTGATTAATGTATTTCTCAAAGCAAGGCACTAATAAAGCCCTGTGTCCTCCTCCTTTGGTGTTGCTTTCAGTATCTTTATGAACAATTCTAACTCCAATTGTAACTCCATTCCGCTGTAACTTCGTGGTGACAGGGACCCGTGCTCCCCATGTCCCACACAGCACCGCACTGCGCTGACCGTGACATCCAACCCCAGCACTGACAAAAAGGAAACCGCCCCCTACCCTGAGCTGCTGCTCCCAGAGCCCTCCAGGCTCTGCTCTGCCCACACCTGGAGCCCTGCTGCTGCTGCTCAGCCTCCAGGTGTGCCAGATCAGGAAATCAGCAGCCCGCTGCTCATTAATGGCCATGGCAGCTGCGCAGGAGCCCTCTGGTAATGCAGCAGGAGTGAGCAGCCTGCTGGGCTTGTAGCAGTCCTGCATGGAAAGGTGTTTGCGGGCAGGGGAAGCTGATCAGTACTCAGTGGCCTGGGGTTAAAGGTAAGAAAACATATAAAAGTGTGCAGCAACGCCCGTGCCTCTCCGAGGAGCTGCACTGAGGGCTGCTCACCCCCACAGCCCCGCAGCGCAGCAAAGGCTGCAGCTTCAGAACGCTCCCACTGGGCCCCTCGGCGCGCCAACGCCGTTCAGAAATGCTTTTGTGCCGGCTGGAAAGAAAACCCAACAAAGAAGGAGAAAAAAAGCAACCCCACAGGGCTGCGGCCGGCAGCAATTTGGGCTGAGGCGAGCCGGCCCACGGCCCCGCCGCCCCACCGACCACAGCACAGGCTGACACGGGGTCACGGCGTCAGCGCTGCGGGGCCGCCTGGTCACCGCGCCCCGTGCCTGCGGGCGGCCGCGACGCTCAGCGCAGCCACAGCGGGACAGCGCGCAAGAAGCGCAGCCCCGGGGGAGCCGCACGCGGTGACGCGGCCGCGCCATCGGCAGGAGCTGCAGGGGCGCGGGGCAGCGAACGGCGCGGCGCTGGGTGCGCGGCTCCTCGTGCAGCCCCGCAGCCCCGCCTCGCAGCACGGAGGGCCGGCGCTTCGTGCGGCGCTCGGGCGTCGTTTGCGAGAGGAAAAAACAACGCGTGGACTTCGTTGAACCTCATGGAAACTTTATAAACGTGGAAGTGCTCTACGCCGCTATGTGGCCAAATGGCTGCAGGGCTGACGGCCCGGGGTCGCACAGCACAGGGTAGGGGCTGTGCCTCCCAGCCCAGCAGAGACCCCAGGGCTCCGCCGTGCTGATGAGGAAGAAGCCACAGCACAGACGTGTCACAAACACATTTACAAGGACACTGGAACCTGTTCTTACTGTGCTGCTGCCTCCCCGCTTACAACGCTGAGGATGAAAACAAGACTCGGCTTTGTTTTTTCAGACTCCACCGCTGTCCCACAGACATCTGTGCCATCTGCACAGCACTGGGTTTGTTCACGAGCACAGGGACAGGAGAACCGACAGCTGCCGTCTCTCACAGGGCCGGTCCCCGTGGTGCCGCTCAGCACCCAGTGCAGAACAGAAGCTGCACACTGAGCCAACCTGCCCACAGCCCACTGCCTCAGAAGTGCCCAGATCAGAAGGCACTGCTGGAAGTGGGGAGGAGGTGCTGGGCTGACACTGCTGGGTGACACCACAGCTGTGACAGAGCTGCCTGTTCCCAGGGAGCACTGCCACACTGGGCACTCAATGCTGAGCTCTGGGGGACGTGCAGCCAGAAACACAATGCACTCCAGTTTGATGCTGTTCACTTCTTGTCTGCTCATGAGAGGGTGCAGCAGAGGGCTCAGCTTAGCGTGGAGAAGCCCTGAGATGCTGCTGCACGCAATGTAGTCAAAGTGGTGACACTACGCCTTTCTCTAAAGCCACTGCTACGTGCCACTGCTCAGGGTACGAGCACAGGAGTGAGCAGCTGGGGCAGCGCTGAAGCCCATGGGGGTGGAAGCACCATCAGCACAGCACTCATCACATTCGGTAAGGCAGCAGGCAGAGGCACACAGAAGGAAAGCACCTGCACACCGCAGAGCACTGCTGCAGCCTCTGCCTGTCCAGCCGTGTCGGACCTGGGGGGATGGAGGGCTGGAGAACAAACGGGAATGTTTGGTGCCTGTTCTGGGAACGCTCCCAGCACCCAAGGAAAGTCACTGAAAAGAAAGAAGCTGCCTTTAGACTGGTGACAGAAAGCAGGGAAGTGTTCATTGCCTATCTACAGGGAAATGCTACAGCTCAGCACTGAGCCCTGACGCTGTCTGGAGCCACAGACCTCTATGCAGCACTGGGACAGGTCCTGGCATGGAGAAATGTGCTCCCCTTCCAGACCAGAGGCATCAATACAATACTGCTGCTGAGGGAAAGAGACCGGAGATCTCTTGGATCGTAAATTAATGTAACAAGCAAACAAGAAACTGTGTTCCTCTTAGAAAAACTTCAGGCATTGACCCATATTTCTGGAGTTTCAGTTCTCCCCACCTGTGCTGGCCCAGCAGAATAACCATGGGCACTGAGACTTCTGCTGGGTCTGTGAGGAGCAGTTCCAGTTGCAGATTTGCAGACGGAGCAGGGCTGCGTCCCCCCGCTCCCCTCCAGTTTGCTGCTGCCCTGCCAGCCCCAGTGCAAGCAGTGCCACCAGCAATGCACGTGGAAAAGCACACCAGTGCTTCGTAAGTGAGGAGAACGCAGAGTATGGGATGAGTCTCTCGTGGCAAGGACGCAGCTTCCAGTCATTCTTCCCCAGCACCCAAGCACTGGGAATCAGCATATTGAACTTTGCGACATCTGTCCAAGGTCACCCTTCACTGAGGTTAAGTCCCAAAACGCGTGGAGGTGCACAGAGCTCTCTGCTCTGCTGTCCTTTTCACAGCCTGGCTGTGCTGCTGTTGGTGCTCACCCAGCACTGCTGCCACCTGCAGAGGTGCCTGGTGAGCATTTCTCACTTGGGCAGAAAGCGATGGCGAAAGGACTGGGAACAGTTCAAGACAAATGTAGTAACGGCCTTCTTGCCATTTTTATCTCCTCCTTCTAATTTCTTGAGCCACTTCTGACAGCACAAAATTATCGTCCAGTATGATAGCTGCTCTCCAGGTCATTTGAACTGGAAAAGTCTTAGCTGTGACACATCTATTTCACAAGCACAGAACATCTCCTTGGTCTAGCTGGGCTGAGATGGTTGCACTGTCTGAAAGAAGAAAACAAGTGTGGCAACATGCAGCAGTGTATGTTCATCAGTGATGGCAAACCCAGCACCAGCATAAACCCAAATCTTGCGCAGCTGTTTCCACAGTGCTCGTGTTTTCCCTGACTGCTGCAGCAAGGAGCTCAGGAACAGCAGAGCAGGATGGTCTGCTGAGCAATGACCACCGATGGACAGCAGGCACCGCCCCGAGCCCCAGTCCTGCCCTTGTCAAAGGTCTCCAGCAGAAAGGACATTTCTCCCAGTCTCTTCTCTGAGATCCCATTCCCTCCCCTGGGCTCCCACCACCCCATCTGCTGAGCTCAGAACCACCACGTGGCTTTGGCTGATCACTGTTACCAACACGTACCTTTTGTCTCAGCTTTCATCACCTGGGATCCTGCCTTGTGGTGATGAAGAACTAAGTGCAGTGGAGTCAAAGAAAACAGAAGAAAAAAGATTGAATGCGCATAAGTAGAGTGATGGGTAGAAGTCAGGTCAACGATTTATCTTTAAAGTGAAGAAACCATTGTTTGACACTGGAGAAAATCAACTCTTATCAGCTTTTCAAAGCCTGCAAATCTATCTGCAGTCTTGGCAGAGCTCAGCGATTGTTAAGAGCAGGAAACTGAGGATTATTTGAGCAGATATTTTCTAAACGAAATCTGCTGCCACAAATCACAGTGCCAGCGACCCAAAGCCCCCCCAGCCCAGTGAGGGCCCCGGTGTGCAGGCTGTGCCATCACAGCCCATCTGGCCACGCGGAGCTACACCCTGCACAAACATTTCGTGTGGGTCCCACTGCTGTCTGCTGCGGCCATTTCCCAGCCCTTCCCATCTCTCCCATGATCTGCCCCTCTGCCCTCCACAGAGGCTGAGACATAAGAACAATATGGACAGACAAGCTGGCTTAATTCCATGCACGGCTGCGTGTTTACCGCTTAGTGGATTTAGGATTAATTTTTCATGCAGCCCCTGCCCGGAGCAGACTTGCACTCAGGGCTGTTTGTTTAGGTTGGTGTTTCGGCTCAGCAGCTCCTGCTGGGTGTGCTGTGCCCCCCAGGGATGGCTCTGTGCCCCACGCAGGGTCACTGCTGCAGCACAGCAGCCCTGTGGCTGCAGGCTCACCTGCCGGTTCTTCGAGATGCCGTCTCGAAGAACTTGGTCCTGGAGGCCACTCTGCAAACAGAACAAGAGAGGAGGTCACTCCAGTTATCTGATGTATATCATCCACTAATCAGATAGCATTTGTGCCATGGAAAAGAGCAGCAGCATCAGCGGACATGGAAGACGACACTTCTAGTGATGCCGGCTGCACTCCTCGTGCTCTAAGCTCCACTCTGTGCTTCCTGCATGCTGCTCTGACCAGGCAACCTTCATCAATTTAATCACACAGCTTATTTAACTGCTCTTGCTCAAAAGCCTATGTGCTGGTGTAAATATGCACTTGTCACTTTTTACGGCCTCTCCACTTATGATGTGTTTCATATTAAGCTTCCAACTGCCCTCATAAAAGGAAAAATTATAACATAAGTGATTCAGGAGAAGAAAGGCAAAGCCCATTCCTGCCCTGCAAGCATGGAGCTGAAACTGACAGCACCTTTCTGGATTAAGGAGTGAAGATGAGGACGTCACACAGCCACACAAGGGGCTCTCAGCAGAACGCAGGGGCTGCCGAGCAGCAGACTTTCAGGATGACAAACATTTTTGCCATCTCCTATTGCCACAGGCACTGGGCAGCTGGCTACCTCAAATCCTAGAGCTTAAGTCTGGCGGCAGAGCATCAGGTGAGCGTGCAGGGAGAACAGACTGAGAATCCATGGGATGATGGGGGAAGGAGAAGCACATCCCAGTGAGGGACAGCAGGGTTTCTGTCTCTTTAAAAACATGAAGAAATCCGATAATGAAGCTGAACTGCATCCAATTCCTTAATGGAGATCCAAGCAGGATCTCTCTTTTCTTGGCAAACATCTCATTTGAGAGACTCTTTGAGAGCAGGAAGGGAGGGAGCTCCAGCTGCACTGAGAAGTAACTGAGAAGATGATGGAAAGTCAGCCCTGGAGCCACATTGGATGGGGCTCAGAGCTTTTTGTTCCTGCAGTGTTTTTGCTTTTGCTATGGCCACGCTCCGCCCCAGCTGTGCCCTAAGGGCAGAGCCTGACCCGACTCTCACGCAGCTCTTCCCAAATGACTCAGACCCCTGCCCATGGAAAGGGGAATGGGACCTGCACGAGCTCCAGCCCCGCTATGCCAACAGTGCTGGAAACCAGCATGCTGCTTCTCCTTCTGCCCTTCCAGCACTCCTGGCAGATGGCAGCAGCTCCCGCTGCCGGTCACCGCGGCCCCCTCTGCCCTCCCCCCAGCCCTGTGGCCAAAGGCTGAGCTGTGGCCCCGTGCTGCCCGCCCGGTCCCTGGCTTACACTGAAGAAGGCATTTCCTCTGCTGTCCCTGCTATCAGATCCGGCCTCTGCTCCAGCTTCTGTGGGACGGGAGCCCTGCAAGGTGGGTCTGGAGGTCTCACAGGAGGACGTGTTATCACAGGCTTATCGCCATGGGGCCGTGGCTTGGGGACACCATCGTACTCTCCTGCAAGGCAGAAGATCACAGACAGTGCATGTGAAGCTTTGGCAGAGGACGTGTTTGTGAAGATGCATTACTGGGCTGCAAGAGCACGCTGCTGGCTGTGTTAAGCCCTTCAACTACCAGGACCCCTAGGACTTTCTCAGCAGGACAACTCCTTAGCCACATCTCTTCCATGCCTGCATTTGTAAATTCTGAACCTGAATTTCCTCTTTGCTAAATTATAACTGGAGCCTCTCCACAGAAGGCCTATTTTCTCATCCATCCTGCTGGCTTCTCCAGTTCTTCAGAATTACCCCCAAGCTGTCCGCACTGAAGCGTGATGCAGTGTTCCAGCACCAATTTTAAAGCAGCAGTATAGCTGCAATATAACTTTATTGCTAATTCAGTGTTCTCCTATTTATACGTCTCAGGACCAGCAGCCCATTTTGTTGTGCTGTCTCTGGATCATGCTGTCAGCACGCTATGTGTGATAATGTGAAAAAATCAAATCTGTAAGCACTAAATGGAGATGGTGTACAAGCCAATTTTAAAAGCTATTTTACTCTTCCAGAGGCAGATTTCCACCTACCATTTAATTCAACAAATTTAAATTAAGCCAGTAGTGTTAGTCAGATGAACTTTATGTTTGTGCTACCCAGCCAGGCCTTTTATTCTTTCTCTTTATGCAGCCCCATGCTTTCATTCTCTAAATACAGGGCTGTGAAGCTGCTGGGGATGACAACATCTAAAAAGCACTGGAGAGCGCACAAGTAAGCCTGGCAATGGCAGAACTAGCAGTATTTCTTATTTACGACCATCATCTTAAGGATCTCACCCAGCTCAGCTCCACACGCACGCAGTTACAGCACCGTGTGCCACACGGTGAGCTGTGTGCTGGCACTGCAGGGGACAACGCAGCCACACAGACACACCAGCCCCTTCCTTCAGGGCACAGACAGCACCAACCCAAATCTGGCCCTAAACTTGTTACTTATACCTATCGTGCATACAGGTAATGCTTATTAAGCCATACAGAAGCCCTGCTCTGTCACACCGTGGCTGTGACACAGCTGTGCCGCTCACCATCTCTGCCGCAGCCGCCCGGCCGGGGCGCAGGCCTCCTGGCGTGGAGCGTGGAGGTGCGCAGGGCAGGGCTGCTCACCACACCATTGGCAGCCTTGCCAGGCAGCTTCGCACCCCCGTCCTGCAGCCTGGCCACCAGCTTGCCCACCTCCAGCTCGGCAGGCGGCCGTCCCGGTTCCTCCCCCCCAGGCCGGGGTGCGGGCATGCGGCTGCGCAGCAGGGGTCTGGGGGCCTCCGTGGTGATGCTGCCGTTGGGGGTCTGGCTGAGCTGGTCTGCTGTGGAGCCGAGGGACAGACAGACGGGTTAGAGACAGACAGACCGGTTAGGATCGAGTGTGGACATGCAGCCAGGCAGCAACTGAGGGCTGTTCTGCCAGTGACAGTTTGAGCTGCGAGGCACTGCAACCTCTGATAGCAGCTCTTACTTTCCTTTCTCACCCAACACCAGAACGCACTGTCTGCCATGCTGACGGCCTTGTCAATGCAATTCTGGTACTGTTTACACTGCTCCTGGAAAGGAGTTAAAAGAAACAGGAGTGAGGGAGAGTGAGGAGAGCAGCAGAACTGACCTCCACTTCCTTCCACAGAAGCCCCAAAGAAGACAGGTCGTTCCCGCAGAGGGCGTTTGGAAATGGTGATGGGTTTGTGCCTCCGGGCAGCCACCCTGGGGGGAGGCACTGGGGGGGCAGCGCTGTCTTCTGGGGGGCCCGAGTAGATCTGTAAGGACAGACACATCTTCAGATGGTGCTCAACAGACCAGGCAGCATTCCCAGGGCTGGAGAGAGGCGCTGTGGCAGCCCCACGCTTCGGGGTCGGGCGCTACAGCCCTGCATACGGCTGCTGCCTTCCTGCAACAGGCAGCCTGCTACACACCACGGCGGTGCTGAGCTAATTAACACAACGAGATCACAATACAGAGAAAATGTGCGGCAGCAAATTATCTCAGCGCAGATTAAGTCAGCTTTCAATCTGATATGTTCTGAAAAGAGTCAGGTTTTCCACACTAACCAGGCGATACAATCTGCAGCAAGCACCCAAACAAGCTGCTGCATTGTTTGAGATTTAACAGCAAAACACTTCGGCTCTTGGTTTACAATGAAGTGTGTGGCACCCTCAAATTACCTCAGATGAAATACTGGCACAAAAACAATGCTGGTTAGCAGTTCTATCTCCTTTTCTCACTGCTCATATGACACCTATTTGGTTGGGGTTAATTTAGAGGCTTTTATTTATGTCAGACCCCTTATTAATAGCTGGGAAAAAAAAGAATAAAGCCTTGAGCAGTCTTTGATGATATGAAACAACACATTAAAGCCCCACATCAACTGCTTTTTCTTTTTTCCCATGGGTATTCACTGAATTCACAATGGGCTTCCAGGAGCGGATCAGTGTGGCAGAGTGGCAGGAGCTGCTGGGAGACCATGGCATGGCCCAGGATGGCCCAGGATGGCCCAGGATGGCACGGCCAGACCATCCTGTGGGGTTGGCAGGAAGAACCTCAGCCCTGAGGATGAGCTCAGCCCCAGCACAGTCCAGAGCAGGGCCACCTCCCCTTCGGCAAGTCCTCTGGTACGGAGGAACCCACAGATATCTGTCCCTCAGATAAATTCTAAAAGGACGTCCTGATTTGATTAAGGATGTCATCTTTGTAACTTAAAGCACGTTTCTCCTTCTGCCAGGCAAACAGAAATGCTGGAGAAAATCATGAGTCCCTGAGCTCTCAAACCTTCTCCCTCCCAAGGTCTGGGCAGTGGGGATGGCATCGCCTGCTGCTCCCTGGTGCCTACAGAAGCACCACAGACCTCTGCTTTCATGAGATGCTTTTCAACAGCTTGAAGCCACTCTCAAGCCCCACCACACTGCTCTTTTTAAGATGCGAGTGCGGCTTCTCCTTTGATTCTGCCTTTCAAACAAAAATCCAAGTTAAACAACTGGAAGGTACAAAGATATTGACAGATCCTCGCGTTTAGAACATTTGTACAGCGAAGAGGCATTTCCACAGGGATCGACTGATTTAATTTAGCTGTAGCACTGATATATAAACTGAAGAAAGAATAATTATCCCCAATGACTTCATGGTGAGTAGTTACTTTGTCCTTAGCCTTCATATTGCACTGCCTAAGTAATATCTCTCTTCCTCCAGGCTCATTTGAATTGTTTGCATATGTGTGAGCTGAAGACGCTTTCAGCTCCAACAATGAGCTTACACACTCCATCTAATAACTGCTACTAATTTCACCTTATTGACAAAGAAATTAAAAGCAAGCAGAGAGATGTCTGGCTTAATTAAAGGTTGAATTCCATTTCTTGGAGGCAGCAGTGGGAACCGCGTGTTGACTCAGCCTGAGCAGAGGTGGCACCAGAGTGACAACAGAGGCTGAGCTGGGAGCGACCACCGAGCATCGCAGCAATGAAGCCCTGCCACGAGAACTTGAAAGCATTTGTAGGAACCCGCAAAGAAAGCAGATCTTCATGGGCTTTGTGTGCAGATACTCCTAAGTCCCTCTGAGCTCTTTCATCCCACCTTTCTGATTTCAACCCTTGGCATCACAACTCACGCCATCCTTTTGGTCCCTGTTTGGTCTCTGACTCCACGCTCACTTTTGCACGGCCCTGCTCCTTCAGCTCTGGCCTCCTCATCCGCTCCCCCAGCAGGACATTCCCCTCCTCCCATCCCCTGCCATCACTCGCAGATGCCATCAAACTTCTCCTTCCTTCAGGACATAGGGGATTCTTCCCACACTATAATTTAATGAGCTATGAAGGACCAAATTCATGCTTAGGAACCTGAAGCACAGCGCTGCGGGCACGAGCTGGGCGCTGAACCTGCCTCTAACAGCTCAGCCCCAGCAGCAGGTCCCTCCCCAGCCCCACACCTGTGTCTGCACAGCCCTATGCACAAGGGATCATTTTTATCCATCTTTCCATACTTGGTTGCTTTGTTATTTTTCCTGTTGTAATGGCAGGCAGTGCCATGTCTTGCATCATGCCTGTCCCTAGCGGTTATGCTGTACTCTGTCTCCTGGCTTCAGCACAAGAAAGCATCATGTCCTGTCACCTCCAGGTAGAGAGGACACTTTCAATACAGACGCTTTCAATACAGCACTGTCAACACAGATGCTTATCTTATTTAAAAAGAAAAGCAAAAAACCCAGTAGACTCAGAGTTTTCCTACAGGCAGAACTATAGGCAATAGTGAGGAACGTCTGCTATGCTGCTTGTTTCCCTGTGAAGCATTTCAGAACAGCGTATTTTGAAGGAAAAATGCCACCCCTTAAGGAGACCACAAAAGAAAGAGCCAAACTCCAAGTCGTTGCCACAGCAACAGCTGGCATGGAGGTGAGGAGAGGTGGCACAGCCCCATACCTTCCCAAAGTGCTCGATGAGAATCTCAACCACGATGTTCTGGAATTTGATGTTCATCATTGCTGCCACGGTGTCCTCCTGTGCCCGCATGAGGGTCGGTCCGAAGATCACCCCCATGTTGGATGGTGACATCAGGTTCTCTCGGCTGTGCTCACACACGCTGCGGAGAGGTGAGGGAGAAGGAATCGTCTGTCATTTCTTTAATGTTTCCAAAAGGATCTTATTCTAAGAAATTAAGAAGATGCAACAAGAATCAGCTGTTCATTTCTCCTCATTTTGTTTCATCTGAATTTGTTTCCCACCCCTGGCAGAGACCCGAGGTCTCTGTGCTGTGCTGCGATGTGCACCATCTTCAGCCAGGACCACTGTGGGAGAGCAACGTGCTGACAGCAGCTCTGCTCCATCCCTTCTGACGTCCGGCTCCTAATTCTGCACACAAAAGCCACCTGTGCAACACATACACAAAAGGAATCATTTCACTTGGAATATCCTATTTATCCCTGCCTGGGAACTGTTGACCACGGCCTGAAGCTCTGATTGACCTCCTGAGGTGAGCACTGAGTCAGCCCTGGAGCACAGGTGAAGGCAATTCTCCTGTGCTGCCGGAAGGGATGGAGCCTGGCTGTGCCTCTCCCAGAGCCATTTAAGGGCTGACTGCCAGGGGGAAGGATCCCTGCTGGAGATCCCTCCTTGGGAGATTGGTGACAATCTTACTAAGCCTGACCACTGTACACCCATTGATGGTACAATCCCAAACTGACTGCTGGCTTTTATTTTTCTCTCTCTCTGAATACAGGGAGGCCACTGGAGAGTTTCATAAACTTCCACAGCATCTTCCTTCTGAAAGAGGCCCAGTTTCAAAGAACAGAGCTCTCTCTATTCAGCCTGGGAGGAGCACACGAGCCTGCAGAGCACACCAGTCACTGACTGAAGCATTAACCACTAGATAGACACTCTGTGTTTTCAAAAGCAGCCAGCCTGAGCTCTGAATGCCAAAGGAGAGAGGCTCTGATGCTGAGATTTAATGAATTCCTTATACTGTAGCTTTCCTTAGAGAGGCTTCTGTGAGCGCAAAGGAGGTAAGGAACAGAATTTAAGCGTAAGCACTTTGAAGAATAAATGTCACCACCACCACCATTCCAGTGTTAGGTTTATCAGACTGCAAGGCAGACGCTCTCATTCTGCCACATACACAGAGAGGCTTCAAAAACACACAAACAAGCATGAAGGGCTGGAAGCAGGCTGCAGCAGGACCCCATCACCTGCACTCCTCACCCGACAGAGGGCACAGCACCAAGAGCTCAGCATTGGGTGGGAGGATGTGGAAATCCCAGGGCCGTTTATTTTTGCAGCAGTTCAGCCTTGGAAAAGGCTTCTCCAAGGACCCAAAGTGAACCTCTTCACTCGGCAGCCATTGCTTCTGTAAGTCCTGCTCCTTCCTGACCCACGCACAAGTTGCTGCACAGCCCTCCCCCATGGGGTGGAGAAGGCAGAGTTTCTGTACCAAGCCTTCCCATTCGGTGTGATGACAAAACAGGAAGATTCCCTTCTTCTCAGCACAGTGCCGGTGCCATCACCATCAAGGAAGTGATGCTTTCAGTTACTCGTTGGCAGAAGCAAGCAGAAGCTGCCCAGCACCACCAAGCACCCACTGCCAGCTCACCTGTATGCTGAAGCCTTCGTGCTGCTCTAAGGGCTCAGGCCATTGAGCTGCAGATAAAACCAAAGCGCTGTTCACATGCAGCCCAGAGGCACAGGTCTTATGCTGTTCTGAACCCCAGACCTCATGTTCTTGTTTACTGGACTGAGAGGAGACATGTTTACAGCTCTGCTCTCTCAGATGGTGCTTCCATGTTAGAACTGCTCCTTGCTTTGTGCTTGTCAGGAAGTGAATGGAAGCAGCAAGCAGAAAGAGGAGCATCACTTAGTGCAGAGGGTAGCAGGGCTCATCACACCACTCGTGCAGTCAGAACGTAAATTCCCAGGGGGACAGTGGTGGATGCAGTTTTACAAACCTGCCACAAGAAAAGGCTTGCTCTGCTGATTCCACTATTCCTCTTAGTTTGGCTTTAGAGAAAAACATCTGCTTACTTGACTAGGTGTCGTATGAGGAGCTCTAACATCTCTCTGTTCTTGTCAGGTAGTTTATAGACCAGGGCATGAATGGCTCCCAGCCTGTAGTCCAGGTTCTCAGATTCTGGAGAGAAGTAACACAGAGAAAAGTTTGTGCCTTTCAAAGTAAATACAATAAAAGAAAAGTAAAGCCAAACAAAATCCGTGGGAGCCGTTCCATCTGCAACACAGGGCTGGTTGGACAAAGCCAGTGATGGGAAGCAGAAAGAAAATGAGATTACATAGCAACAGGGTAATGATTGTGAGAAACAAAGAGAAATGGAAAGAGGGAGAAATGAAGCTTGAAAGGGAGCGCAGGGCCAGCTCTTTGCTGAGCACAGGGATGGGCTGGGCATGGCCAGGTCCTGCCCTTCACACTGCACCAGGGGAACCCCACGGCCCATTTGCTGGGCATCTCCTTGGCCCGGAAAGCTGCAACACAACAACATGAGAAAATGAACTGCGGAAAAAATGGAGTCCTTGACCCAAAGAGGTCACTTTCAGACACATAAATAATCAAGAAACAATCAAATACTCCATGTGAAAAGAATAGTGTGGGATCTCGGTGGCTGGGAAGCTTAATGGTGCAAGTTGTGACGGGGGAAAGGAAGGGATTTTGCACATACTCAGCCACCATTGGTTAATCAACGCTGAAACTGATAAATCTTGGGCTCGAGCACAGTCAGTGCGTGGTGCAAAATTTTCCTTGACAAGAAACAAGAAGTGTTAGTAATTTTCCAGGGGTCCAAAGTGAGGAGAGGCGGGGATGTTTGTTGGCCTCCTACTGACTCCAAGGAGACACAGGGCTGCGAAGGACGCCTTCATACAAAATGCTTCTGAGCGTGCCACGAAATGCCAGCACTTTCATGCTGAGAGGATGACTAACTCCCTGCATCCCCCTGCGACCCACCTCAGTGTGCTGGCTCTCAGCAGCCCGAGATGCAGCCAGCTCAGAATATGATGGATTATTTGAACAAGCCGTAATCACAGGACAGCTGAGGACTGGCTGGGTTAGCACAGGCTACGTCCTGTTGGCTTACCTATGCTACTTGACTAACCTCTGTTACTGTTGGCTGCGATTCGGTCCTGAGAAGTGCAGAATGAAAACACACTTCTTGTACCAGTAGATGCTTTGGATTCAACATCCTGGGCCAAATCTCATGAACTAAAAGGATCATGTAACTCTGCTTGGCAACATCACATCGCATTCCCTCACTGCTTTTAAAATAAATATCTTGATTCTTTTGAGAAACAACTCTAGAGCACTTGTGATCATCTGCTTTCAGGTTAGTTGGCACGTCCTGGCCCTCCAGACCCTCTGGAAGGATGAAGCCCTGTCACAGAGAAATGTACTGCAATAGCATGGAAAAGAAGGGAAGAAATACTTCCATCATCTTCCTCTCAAAATTAAGGACCCAGAAGAGAGGGCTGGTGGCAAGAGGCAGATCCCCAGGTGCAACCTGGCAGAGCTCTCTCAAGCCATTTGAAATGCACCTGGCTCTGAGCACGGTCACACCAGGCAGGCACACTGCAGTGCTCTGACCCCACCAAATCGATGTCATGGTGTGTTGGCCTCGGGCCCCTCTGCAGACACTCGTGTGGCTCCTCCTGGGAGCAGATGGAGCCCCAGTGCCCACCCAGCGGTGCTGGAGCCATGGATGCCTCCAGAGCCCTCTGTGCCCTGCAGGGATCAGCACAGGGAGCTGCCTCTGTTGCTGTGAGGCATCAGGCTGGGGGCTGTACTTACTGGCAGCCAGAACCAACTCCTTGTGCAGCTTGTACGTCATGACGGGCTCCGACAGGTTCCTGCAACAACCAGACAGAAAACTGAGCTCTGGGAGGGCAGTGTGGCCTCATGACTGATCTCCAAGGTCGGGAGCAAATCTGCTCACCCACCAGCCTGCTGGTTCCCGGTGGCACCTCCCCAGACGCGCTGCAGGATGTGGCATTGCCACAACAGGCATATTTCTCATAAAGAGAAAAGGAAAAAGGAGGCATTCCCTTTTCCAACGCCTCTGCTGCTTCTTTCCCCTTTCCTTTGGCCGGATGCTCACACCTGGCAGTTCTCTTTGCACCCAGACTGCCCAGAGCAGTGGGATCTGCAGCATTACCTGAGGTAAAACTTTAGTGAGCTGGTAATGGTCTTAATGTCCCAGTCACTGCTTTGGAGGTCCACATCCCCTGGGCATTTTGGATCTGGAGGAAGAACAAAATGGCTATAAAATAAGATCCACTTTGAGGCTGTTATAAAAAACAAATTCAGGGAGGGCACCACTCGAGATGAACTAAGCTAGAGCAGCAGGTGGCCATTCCCAAAGGTGGAAAAGGAGAACAACAGTGCTAGTGGCAGAGAGGCTGTTACTCTGGATGAAAACATCAGTGCTGACCAGAGGCAAAGGAAGAAGCAGCAGGTAATATTTGGTGGAGAACAGTTAGCAAGGACACATTCCCTGCAGTTTGTTTTCTTCTAGTCAAGGCTGGCAGAAACAGTGCATTCCCACAGACCCAAGATCAGTCTTTGTGTACCCAAATAACCCAACTGTCTGCTCCAGTCCCTCACCCCAAGGACTCCCCAGCAACTGCTCTGGGAGCATTTCGCCTCACTGCATGGGGAGGAGGGGGCAGGAGGAGAAAGCAAAGCCAAGCACACACCCCTCATGTTCCATCCAGCTGCATGACCAACGCATTGCTTTGTGGTAGGGCAAGCTGAAGGGCATGGGTGGAGGGGGCAGCTGGCCTACGGAAACAGACTGCATGACTTAAATAAAAAGAAATAAGACTAGAGACAGAAAATCTACCTCCTCACTCAAATTCAGGAAGAAGTTGCTCTGCAGCAGCTATTTCTGCTCAGTGTTGTTGGGTTTTGGACGGTGAGTTTGAACACAGCAGGGTGGCAAGTGGTCAACCCGAGTGGTGAATTAAACAAAATGAAAAGCCACACACAGCTGGGGGTCAGAAGGGAAAAACACAGCGCTGCTTGCAAGGAGGGTGAGAATCCAGGAGCAATAAAACCTGAGGCTAAGTAAATTAGTCATCGGGCAAGTGTAACTGAATAGCTGGCTCCATGGGAACTGAGAACAGCTTCGTGTCAGCACAAAGAAGTTTTAATAACAACAATAGTAAATGCAAAAACAGCCTTTGAATGCTACATTAATATCAGATGTCCGCACACGGAGCTGACAGAGGCTGGCATGTGCCCGAGGCACACAGATAGAACACAAACACACTTCCTGCTCTGTGCTGCAGCCCTGCCAGCAGTGGTGCACGGGGCACAGGGAGGACAGCAGCCACAGCTCCGGGCAGACCCCAGGAGTGCCCAGCTTGGAGAAGTGCTGCTGAGCCCCAGGCACCACTGATCCCAGGTGTGACAACCACCCAGCAGTTAATGTGCCTGAATGAAACGCAAGATTTAGGGTGCAGAAAGTTTGCTACAGAAGTACGTATGCTGACTGGTCCGTGAAAATAACCACCTTCCTGCAGCCCCTCAGGAGGGCATGGCAGGTCCCTGCACTGCCCAGGCAGTGCATCCCAGCAGCGGTGGTGAGGTGGGTGGGCACCCAGCGCAGCAGCACCAGGGCTGTCCCTGCCACACGGGGGGCAGTGACTTGGAGAAGAGCCTTCACACTGCCCATCTGCTGGGGCTGCTGCAAGAGGAAGGGGGGAAGGCACACCCCCACTGCTGCCATCACCTCCTGCTGCTTCCAGCACCCACAGTCAATGCAGTGTGAAGGGAGAGAGCGGGAGTGGGCTGCAGAGACGGCTCCGAAAAGCAGGAGAGGTGCTGGAGGAGCCAGCAGCTGCTTTCCATTGACTCATCTCATTGTAGAAGCCCATTCTCCTCGGCCTGACCAAACAATACCAAAACACGACAATCTAACCACATGGAATAATCAATTCTTACCAAAAAAGGCATTCAGCAATTTCTGCACCTGAATATTGCTGCCAACAGTTCGGTAGACGCCCTCTGTAGAAATTCCTGAGAACAACAAGAGCGGGGTTAGCCACAACCTGTCCAAAAGCACCATCTGCTGGAGCCTGCACCCAGACACCCAGCTGTGTGCTGCACGGACAGCCTGCACCCAACCTGCACTCAGATGCCACCATGGGCTCCTTACCTTTTGTCTCCACAGCATTGATGCACTTCCTCACAAACTTGAAGCCAACCTCATTCAGCTCCACTGTTAAAACAAAGCAAGAGGTCTCAGCTGCCAGAACCTCATGTGTGGTCCCTACAGAAGCCCTGTGCACCCCACAGCCCCAGCACACAGCTGGCTGTGCTTCTATGGAACAAATTTTGCTGAGGAATTATTCAGTGTTTGTTGGATTTCTTTTGAGCTCCAGCACCCCCCTGCCCCCTCCCTGCCTCTGAGAAGCCTGGTTCAGAGTTCTGCCTTGTGTGGATCTGTGGCTTGGAATGAGTTGAGTAATCATTTTCCAAATATCTGCCATTATAACTCTTCTACGTGATAAGATCGTGCCAATTCCACTTCTCTACTTGATTAGATCAAAAAGCCAAAAGTGAAAACTACAAAAAGCAGCTTCACGTGCTGCCTGAGTAAAGCAGAACACAGGTTTGGCTCCAGCTGATCAGTGCCTGTCTTAAGGCACTGTGAAAGAGGCAGTTATCAATTATAGATGCACTGTAACTTCTTACTCGTATGATTCAGCTGACTGGGAAGACAGCTTTCTAGAGTACGAAATTCTAGCTGAAAAATCTGCATTCAAACTTCCATGGTTCAAAATCAGTCCCACTTTACCTGGGTTTCAATCTTAATTTTGGCTGAAAATGTTGACTTTGAGGTAATGTTTGGTTTAGGGCTTATGCCTCTGATAACACTAACTCTAAGATAATTCAAGTAAGCCAATCAAGTGCTGATAACAGCAGGCCCTAAGCCCCAAGAGCCCGCCTGCACTCAGCCCATGAAGCACTGTGCTCCAATGGGGGACACTGTGGTGACAGCAGCACAGGCAGCCAAGGAGCTGCATCCCACCCTGGGTCCTGCCACAGCCTCCCTCATGGAAGGTGTCCTCAGTGCCCTCACCAATCCCTCCTGCTGCTGCTCTGGGGCCCATAGGTACACATGGAGCTCTGCACCCCTCTGCAAGCTGCTGTCAGTACCTTGACTGAGGAAGCTCGCCATTACCTGCCTGTGCTATCAGGCACCATCAGGAAAAGAAAGAAATGACACATTCTGGGAATTACACTGCCCACTTCAGAAACCAAAGATGAGATGTATGCAGGGAAAGGCACTGCCTGGCCTCAGGACAGCTTCAATATATCAGAGGAATAAAAATGGAAATAACTCACTCTCTTCCTGCTTCGTGATGGGACTGTGATAGATCTGAAAAAGGGAATGGGGTGGAGAAAGAAACAAACATAATGCAACACCATTTGGTGCATCATTTCAAAAGAAAATGCAGCCCCCCCTAATTCATCTCCAAGAGCAAGACTGCGTCCCAAGGGAAGTCAGCTCACAATTCAGCGAGATGCCATTGCCTATGGAATAAATGAGCTTGCTGACTTCCTACAGTTCACTGGAGCACCTCTTTCAATTTCAAATCTTCCAAAAATGGAATGAGAACTCCCACTTGTCCTGCAGGTGTCCTGTGCAGATGGACAGTCTGGCACACAGAGGTCTTCTGCTTGTTTGTGCTTTATAATAAGATTACTTCAGATGTCAAGACATTCCTTCTTCACCACGTACAAAAACGCCTTTTGTACTTATTTTAGGAAGAACAAACAGTAGATTATATTCTTGATAGAAAATAAAAACTCCTTTGTACACAAGTGAGTGCGTAAAATGAGTGAGCATCAGACACCTGCTCAGCGAATGGCTGCCCTCTGAGCACAGCCACCCTCCCTCTCATTCCAGGCTGCTTTCTGCCCAAAGCATCAGGCACACAGCAATGCTGGGGGTGCCCACATCCCACCTCCTGCTCCCACGTCCCACAGCCCCAGCAGCCAGCACTCAGCCCCAGCAGCAGGGCAGCGTGCAGCCTCTGCCAGCCTGTCCTAGGGAAAGGCTGCTCGCAAAAACCAGGGGGAAACCACAGGCAATGTGTTTCCCCACAGTGCACATCACACCACAGGAAGTTCAGTAAAATGCAGGAATTCATGCCTTGCTCACATTAAAGGAAGGAAATAACAGCAGCCAGGATTGCTGCTGAACCTCTGCAGGGCGGCTGCTCCCAGCCTTTGCAAACACTGCTGAAAGCAGGTATGAATAAAAACGCTGTCATGCAGATTTGGGAGTGAGTTCAACAGAATGCTGCTTGTTTCAGACGCTGTGATGTCACAGTTTTTAGGAAGTCTGACAATTGCAGTTAAATAGAAAACGTACCAAAGCTTAAAAGGGGGGAAGCCAGCATTCCCTCTGCAAGCTGTGCTGAGATCAGACAGCGCAAAATCCAATTCCAAGTGTGTAACGGAACTGATGGCTTGAGTTACAGGTGAGCAACTGAAGAGATTTCTGTGAAACTGAGCCTGCCAATTTTTACTGATCTTCCTCCCACCAGCAGAGGACACTGCACGACAGCACATCCATGAACTTGGAACACTCACCGGCTCCTTTCCATCCATGGCTTCCATCCACAGCCTTCGGTTAGCTTCAGAGAGTGCCTGCAGAGTGATGGTCCCAGACCTGTGCAGTTACCCAGGGGCAGAAGGAAAACATGGAGCAAAGATCAGTTTTTAACAAACAGCATTTCTCCAATATTATAGGGCTGATCTTCCTGGAGACCACTTAAATTCGAAGCATCTCACCTTTCATTAGTTTCAATGTCAAAACAAAACCTTTTGTCTATTGAGTCAGTCTTTCTCCTTACACAGGATTTCAGTGTCAGGTCCAAGGTACCCTGGAAAAGAAAGTTGAAGCCAAGCTCAGGAAAGAGAACCATTGGAGAGGATGGAACGTTCCTCAGCACCTTTAGTCCTCAGCCCAGCTGATGCTGCACAGTGAGGCCCTGGGCACAGCCATGTGCTGGCAGCACGTTGTGGTGGATGTGAACCTCAAAATGAAGGAAGCACTGCCACCCCCATCAGTGCCAGTGCCCACAGCCTCTGACCCACATGGATGAGCAGAGTCAGGAGAGCCCCACAGAATGGGCAGCCCGCTCCAGACTGTGTCTGCTCTGTGCACGGCCACGTCCATCTGGTGGCTGTGCTGAGTGCGGCCCCTCACTTGGTTTTGTTTGGTTTTAAAGAGCACTCTTTGTTGTTGGGGCACTTGAAGATGCGGTCAGCTGTGACCTGGAGGTGCAAACTGCTAGACTGCAAGAAGCTGGAAGGGAGGAATCCAAGTTAAACCCCGACCTGCAGCAAGAGGCCTCAGCAAACATGCTTACAGCACACATGACAATAGATGCCTCCAGTGCATAGTTTGGACTTTCCTTTGCCCTCTGCCAAGGGCTTCCAAAACCCACAATTTCACTTGATTGCTGCACTGCACTGAAGGCTGCCAAAGGACACAGCCCATGAGCTCGCACTCTGCAGAGAGCACACATGACTCGAGGCTCCCAGGGGATGCTGCTCCATGGCAGAGGCAGTGCTCAGAGCCACGGCCCCATCCAAGCGCCCTGCCCCTTCCCTTGCACTGCAGGAGCTGTGGGGAACTCCCAGACACATCCCTTGCTGGTGAAAAATGAAGTACGGCGTGAAAGAGTTGGGTTCTTCAGCTGCTGCTGTACTCTACTGCTCAGAGCAGCAACTTCGGCCCTCTCCTCCTCTCCTAACCGTATCCTTACAAGTAAATAGAAATCAAAATTGCAAATCAGTGACAGTGCAAATATGCAAAGGGAAAGAAAGAGTGCTTTTAGAAGTGCTCAGCTAGCGACTGCAGGCAGCTGTGTGCACGCCAGGCTGCAGGCTCACAGCCCGTCTGCACGGGACATACAGAAGTCGTACAGACACACACAGCTTCCAGCCCTGCCTGGAGGGCTCTGCTCTAGCTGTGCTATCTCTGCTTACAGAAGGAGACGGAACAGACTGGGCCATGAAAGCACTCACCTGCTTAGCACCAGGCTTCTGGTCCATGGGGGTCATTCTTAAGGTTTTCGCCTCTTTTTCGTACTGGCAATAATACTTCACCCAGGAGATGCCCAGTGCCCCTGTGGGAACACAGGGAAGCAGCAGTCCTTCAGTACAGGTTAAGGACAGAAATATCTATATATAAGTACGTCTGTGTATATAATGAAAAAGTTAACTGCTCACAGAATAAGTTATCTGTTGACTCAAGAGGCCATGCAGGCTTCTGTCCCTTGAGTGTTCATGCTTGCACAACCAATGAGTATTGGTAAGAGATGAACTTGATTGAATTCAGTACAGAATCACAACTCTTGCTGCCAGCAGCTAACCTTCATCACCACACAGCACTTCAGCTCTGCTCACGTGCACTCAGAACCCTCTCTGAGCCACTACATATATGTGCAGTGCAGAAGGTGGCACCTTTCTGATGCCCAGACTGACTTATGAGGACAACCAGGGTCACTCTCCCAGTGCCTCTTTGATGCCTGGACCAGGAATAGAAAACGGCTGCAGAAAATGTGGGGACCAAAGGCCCGTGGCTCTGTGAAACCTGCACCAGCAGAGCTGACTGTCTGCAAGGGCATGCACTTCACCTGAGCTGAGCTACACAGGTCAGTAAACAGCAACAATTCAGCATCCAGCATGTCACGCTGAAGGGACCTGCACAGAAGCAAGCAGTGCAGTACAAAAAGCTACAGCAGCAGCCCTGCAATCAGCCCAGAGCTGCACACTGAGGTGGGCTATAAATGAAATCCTTATCAGAGAGGGGAAGCTGCACAGGACAGCATGTTCATTCTGATGAACTGCAGACAAGGAGCAATTTGCCAGAGCTCCGGCTCTCTGGCTACAATGGAATCAAGGACGTCATTTTTTCCCAACGTGGGCAATCAGCTCCTCGTTTACGTGGCTGGCACAGCCTGTGCCACCACCAGGAAAGCTGTCAGCTGCAACTCCTCAGCCAGCACGGGGCACAGCCCACGGACTCCCCATGGGTGGGGAGCTGAGCACAGCCCTGGCAGCAGGGCTCAGTGCCCCTGCAACACGCTTAGTGCAGACGAAACCATTACATTTCTCCTGAGTGTACAGATAGCCCTCGATGGTTGGCTGCCCAGGGAGCTTGCACGTCAGGGGGGCTTCCTTCATCCTTTTCTTTAGGTCTTCCAGCTCCTCCCGCGTGCTGGAAAAGTGGTTCCTTGTCTGGCAGGGGAACACACAAAGAGGTATGTCTGAACAAGAAACAAGTCATGTATTTCTGATTAAAACTTCAGCCTCAAACTTCAGGTACTCTGGCAGAAAGAATCTGTCCCCAGCTCCACAAATTCACATGAAAGCTGAAGCTGTAAGAACAGGGGACTTCCAAAGATGGTTGAAGGGACAAGGTTTGACATATCGTACATTGAAACAGCAGCGAAGAGTCATCGCTGGGAGGACACTTTTCTTCCAGTGCAAGAATCTCGGCACTTCTTAAGGCTGGGTGGAGGAGGAGGAAGCACCAGAACGCTCTGCACTGCCCCTTGGGTAACAGGTGCATTCTCCTACAAACTTAGGGTGCTGATTCCTCAAAAGATCATCCTGCACTGCTTGGCGTGAATTCTCAGGAGTTGTGTCAGTGCAGGGTACAAACTGAAGGCATCTTTACAGAACACCACTCAGACCAATTAATAATCCAGCAGCAAAGCTGGCCTTATGGCTGCTGCTCCATGGGAATGAGGGCAAGCCATAAGAGTGCGAGGATAAAGGGCTGTGACAAAGATCCTTCACTTCATGACTATACTTGGTCAGCAGAGGAGGTTACCAAAGCATTCAGCAAGCTGGTATCATTAACATGAAAATCTAAGGCCTTTTTAGAATATACAACTTAAATCTAATGAAATTGGAAGGAATTCTTAGGCTAGTTTATGCACAAGGTTAAACGACGCGATGCTGACAGCCTCCTCTGGACAGAACCTGGGGTTTCTGAAAAGCACTGTCACAGCACTTGCAGACTCTCCTGTGCAGGAAAGCAGATGATACACGTGAACTAGGGAGGAAATAACTGTCTCTGCATTTCCCACAGTGCATAGAGTGTATTTTGCATGGCAAATAGTTTCAAAAAGTTATAAACCCAAATGAGAATAGAAGTCACATGAAAAAAACCACATTCCAGCTGGGCAGGACGTACATTCTGCAGGCTGAGCTGGAGCTGCTGCTTGTAAGGGAGGAAATCCTGCGTGAGCTCAACCGTCAGGTTGTTGTATGTAAAGAGGCTGTGGAGAAAAGCCAGCACCTGCAAAGGAGGGAAAGGACACAGACTAAACTTATCTTCTGAAGTTTCTAATCAGAGGAAAGTTCGGCAGGATGCAGGCTTTGAGAGATTATATACACAAATACATTTCTTGCCGTTTTGGAGGGATGTGAATTGACTTACTGACCATAGCATCTCTAATACCTACTCTGTCTCCCACAAATATACTGCCTTGGTAAAACACAACCCAAATGAAAGGCGCTGTTTGGGAAGCAGAAGCTGACCCTCAGAGAGAGCTTGTCTGCATGAGCAGCGCCAGGGCAGGGCCCTGCACACAGCCTGGGCCGACAGAGGAGCACACCTCAGAAGGCTGCTGCTGCTTACCAAACACAAGGCGCCCAAGACAATTAATAACAAGTCCCACCTGCAGCGTGCTACTGGCCTGCCCTCAGGATGGACAGACAGACCTGAGAAACAAGTCTGTGGCTTCACAGTCATCCACCAAACACCACCGGAGCAGCAGCAGCCCCAGCGTCCAACTCCTGTTCCACCATGAGAATCCCCAGGCCTGAATTCAGTCTGGTAGCTCGCTGCTTTCTGTGACTGTCACTAAGTCAGCACACCTGAGCATCCAACAACAGCTGCTGAAAGTGAAGGGAGCTCCTACCGGTTCAACAATACTGAATTTCTTGCTCTCTTGTACTTCCTGGATCTGGTACACATACTCAAGGGAGGACTCAAAGAAATTGTGCCTCTCTTTGTCAACCTGAAGGTCAGCCTGAAAGAAAAAGGGCAAGTAGGTAGAAAAAAATAAATCGCATCCATCCAATATTTGACTCGCATCTGTCTCTCAGCGCAGAAGTAGTTGTGCCCTCACTTCAGGCAATGCCTGCCCTGTGTGTTTGGCTCCAGTTTTGAACGCTGGCACAGAATTACAAGACTCGAACACTTCTTGTTCTCAGATCTGCCCTTCTCATTAACAGATCAGAACTTTGCACCACGCAGTAAGGACTGTGCTTTCCCTAAGCACGTTTGTTATTCTAACACAAGCTCTTTCTCCACCCACAGCCCTGCTGGTGAGGACAGCAGCATCCTGAGCCCTCCTGAATTCTGCCAGGACCTGAAACCAGCAATTCCAGAGCTGCAGCACAAGGGAGGACACTGGCATGCTGTGTTACCACACCTTATACAAACTCCGCTTTGCAGAGGTGTTTGTAACTTGATCAGACACATCTGATTTGATCCAACCACCCTGACATGGGCTGGGACTTTCCCTTCCAGCTGCAGAACATTTGGCAGAAGCAGCTCAAAGCCTTCTGCCACTGCCCTGCTGCCTGTGACAGCAGCGCACAAAGCCACAGCTGCTGCCCAGCACTCCAGTGTGAACTGCCACGTCCGTATCCCTGCCCTCACCCATGTGAATGGGCTTTAGCTGGAGATATATATTCTGGAGATACTTCTAGACTTGACTGAAGAAAACTCCATACACACCTCCTGTAACTGAGACTCCTTCTTTTTAGAGGAGAGGTGCAAATGGCGATCCAGCATGGAATAAAACTTCTCACCATCCTTCTCAAACTTCTTCTTTCTTTCCTGTAGATGCAAGAGTTGAAGCAGGACCAGTTATTGTATCTTTCACATAAGAACATGCTACAGTAACAAGATCTTCAGTGCCATTCAATGTTCACACGGAAACATTCTGGTGGAATCAGAACAGAAGGTGGCTTTTCATCCAGCTGCTTTCCCCAGGTATTTGCTTACATTGGATTCAGTTATACTTTGTGACCAAGCTCTGGCAAGATTTTATGGCACAGATACTCAAAATATTTTCTCATGTCAACACTGTGGCGAAAGCCCCATAGAAGAGTTACTGTTCCCCTCCTCAATCACTGCAGTGTCAAGTAAACTTGAGATGCCCTAACCATCAAAAACATGTTCACAATCTGCTCTTGTGCTGCTCACTTCATTCAGAAACAACTGGGTACGCACTTCCATCCCAAAGACATGCCCAGGAAAGAAAAGATTTATGAGGAGCCTGGCAATTTTCCATTCTGAAGCTTTTATCATGTGTTTCTGAACTGTATGAGAACGAAAGCAGAAGACGAGAGGGGTGACACGTGGGGGTGAAGTCATCGTCTCTTCATTAGCAGTGCTGGAAACACAGATCACAAACCACAGGGTCAAAACTCACAGAAATTTCAGTGTGTGTTCAGCCTGAACACAGCCCAAATGCTGCACCCAACATTACAACCAACAGTGATCCGACTCCACTTCTGCTGCAGTCTGCTGCTGATGGTCTGGTTCCTACTGACCTGTTTTACATCTCAAACATGCAAAGCACAGGCATGCAAACGTGAAGTGTGAACTGATTTGTTAAGGAAGACTCTATGAAGGAAGCACTACAACAAAAAGATTTGCTTGTATGGACAAATCTTCAAAGGTAAATGTCTGGAACAAGAACAGAAAGAGAAAATTGAGAATTAAGCCCCGAGGGCACCCAGGGACAAGCTGAGCTGAGGACTGTCAGCTTGCTGAAGCCTTACAGTGACTGTGAGACCACAGTGAAGAATCAATCATCAGCAGAAGCCAGGTTAAAAACTATTCACAAAAGAAAGTGAAGCACCAGTGACTGCTGAGAGGCAATCATATCACCAAAATTAAGGGTGTTTAGTCACACAGCAGCCCTGGTGCCAGGCCCAAGCAGCTGAGGACTGCTGCCTGCAGGGGATGCAGAGGATGCCCAAACCCTCTGGCTAACTTCTGAAGGCTCAGAAAGTGGAAAGCAGAGTTAGGACACCTCAGCCTATTGTGGAATTAATGGTATCTTCCCCCAGCTAACTCCTAAAAGCCCTGAAATGCTGTTCTCTTGCACCATTTCAGCAAACATGCCAACACCGCCTTGAAAGAGGCCATTAAATACTAGGCAGTTTGCTCATGAATTCAGCAGTGCTTGAGTTTGGGGATGTGCTTCTCAAATAAAGTTCTTTTTCTTCCTTTGGTTAGTTCTGCCATGAAGTTTTGCTTCCCTGTTCTGCCTGTATGGACTATTACATGAGATGTCCTTCACAGTGGGCACGTGGGGCTCCCAGCTGGTGCTGCAGCTCTGTGCAGTCAGCCCTTGCCTAACTCTCTGTTTTCTTGGCCCATCTGCTCATAGCAGCTACTGCTATCTTCCCTCTAGAAGAAGAGCTGTTTTCTGGTGGGCACACACGAGCACACACTCGGATGTTTAGTGGAGCATATGGAGCTTTCACACGCTGGGAGGCAGCACACGGCTGCCCACCTCATCCCCTGTGGATGGCATCTGTTAGGGCCAGGCAGAGGCACTCACAGTCATCAGCCAGGCCAGGGCTGGCAGCCTCCCTGCAGCCTGGCGGGGGAGCAGCTCGGCTCCAGCACTCAGACTCGTGGCAGTGGGCACCAGCTCCTCAGAACAACCTCAGGCTAAGGTTGGACAAGCACTGCTGCTGGCTGCCTTCCTCAGGAGAGGAATTCTCACCCCAGAAGCGTCCTGCTTCTCCATTCCTTGCACACTGCTATTTGACAATTAGCAAAACGCAGCAACGCTTGCAGAGGCACCAGGCTGAGTATTCCTGAGTATTCAGCAGTATGGTGGGCTGGGACCAGCAAACCCTTTTACCTGTAATTGCACCTACTGCATGGCAGATGCACTGAGACGATCAGACCCCTGGCCAGGATTGGGTGTATCTTCTGGTATCACCCCCTGTGCACCTAATTCTGTTAGCTAATGGATGCCTAAGGAGACCCAGCCATGAAACCCAGAAGAGAAGAGTCCACCAAGAGTGAAACCCAACGTGAGAAGCACTGGGCTGAGGAGCCAACACCAGGCAAGAGTCAGAAGAAAACAGCACCCCCGTGGCTAATGCTGGTGATAAGCAAATCCAAAGCCAGACAGACGCAAAATCTGTCGTGAAGCAGGAAACACCACTTCTGTCAAGTCACACCTCAGAACTGTGTGCCACCAGGTGCCATGTCTAACAAAGCCAGGAACATAAGATTACTTTCATTTTGGTAACAAGGAGTCACGAGCCCCATGGTGTCTCGTAGCACACGCGCTAAACCAGAGCTGCACCCCATGCCCACGAGCAGCACGGCAGGCTTGCAGATGGTTGCACGGCAGGAGGATGGCGATGGCAGCAGCAGGACACAGATGCCCTGGTGATGGTGAGCTGACACACAGATGCCCTGGTGATGGTGTGTTGACCCCACGCTGTGATGGGAGGTGCCCACGAGGCCTGGGGGCCACGCAGAGCTTTTTCTGCAGCAGGAGCCCTGTGGGAGCAGCCATGTGTGCAGCCAGTCATCTTGCACTCTGGTTAATTAACATACAACTGAAAAGCAGGAGGATGTACTACAAATCCCTCCTGATTTCCAAGCCAAGGTTTCTAAGAGCTTGTTGGCTGCTGAACAGAGCAAGCCAAGACAAAAGGGAAAAAAAGAAAAAAAAAAAAAAGAGCACAACAAAAGAACCAGCCAGACTGAAGCACAATCCAGAAAGATGAGCACAAATGGATTCCTCATGAATATTCAGCAAAGGGCAGCATTATCTCCCCAGTGAGACTTGCCAGCGCTTGAGTCCAAGAAGCCACCCTACTTTGATCTGCTCATAGCAGAGATGATCCCACCCAAAGGCAGCCAGCACAAAGCTGCACACCTTGGGAGCAGTGAGGGCACAGGGAGACTCACCAGGATGTCCCTCCATCATGTTTGCTGTCTGTGAAGAGAGGCACAGCACAGAGCCTGCCCAGAGCCAGGCGGCATTGGCTCCCCTTTGGTGGCTCCAGGCCACAACCACTCACAGCTCCATCTCTCCATCTGCAGCAAACATCTCTCTAATGACCCCTCCTTCTCTGATAACTGAGAGCTCCACCATCCCCGCTACTAAGGCCACACATCAAAATCTTCTCATTTTCCAGCATCACTGCTTCACCCAGCACTCCTGGCACTCAAAGAACTTCTGATGAAGAGGAGATGGCACGTGGCAGGACACAGAACCCCCTGAGCTCATAAAACAGGTGGAGCGCAGGCTCCATGAACACGACCTGATGTGAAATGGGGACGCAGGCCGTCCCATGCTTGCCCTCCCTCACCCAAAGCCTGCACCCCTCCGATGCCAGCCGTGTCTTTCCCGTGCCTTTCTCTTCGTGCTGCTTTGTCTTGAGCAGAACAAGGTGTGAGGCCAGGGCTGGGAAATGGGTGAGCTCAGGCTGTCCTTGGCTCTTATGCACAGACACTTACCCAGCGACTCACAGCTGGAGTGACAGCCCCACAGCCTGCAGGGCTCGAGGTCCCGCTGACACCCAGAGCCGCCCAGCACTGCACATGGCGGGGGAAGCTGCTCATCCCCAGGAAAACGGGTTAACGTCGGCTCAGATGTCTCAGTCAGACCGCCTGGCTTCTCTCCAGCCACAGTCATCACAAAGACTCAATTCAAACGCTCTTCCTATCTGGCTTCAGCATCTCGCACAAAGAACAGAAAACATCTCACATAAGGCGCCTCGGCCAAAATGTGGGAAGCGAATCAGAGGGCACAGGCCATGCCCGCCACATCTGCGGTCTGCGTGGCAGCTGCCGGCCTCCTGCTGCCCAGGAGGGCTGGGGCCACGGCATGGCAGGCGTGGGGGTGGAGGGGGGCCCTGCCTGCCCTGGCCTTGAGGGGGAGCACGAGCAGCCTGAGCGCTGTGTGCCCCTGAGACCCATGTGCCCCTGAGCCATGAACCCTGTGTGAGCCCTCCTGCGGTGGGGAGGGGGCACAGCTCTGGAGGAGAGCTCCGAGTCACAGGCAAAGTGACGCTGGCATGGCGAGGGTTGGCCCAAGCAGAAGCAGCCAAAGAGCCACGTTAACACTGCCATCTTAACATCTGTAGGCTGTTGCCCTCTTAAGTGCTGCATAAATATGAAGGGAGAAAAAGCTTGACCTCGTCCCCCCGAATCGTTCCCGTGGCTCTGTAATGGCTCTGTAAATACTCTGATGCAGGCAGGGCAGTCAGAGGGAGGCTTCTCTCAGCCCTGTGTTTGCAGTGCAGACGCACAGCCCCCAGGCCTGGAGGAGCTCTGTGAGCCACCCCAATGGCCAGCGCTGCCCCCCCGTGCTCCCACTGCTGTGCTTGCCCCGAGGCACGTTTAAAACGCAGCAGTTGTATGGGGGGATTCTGAAGGGCAGGATGGTGATCGAGTACCATTTCTTAAATCCTGTATTTATACAACGTCAAAGGCTCCAGATGGGCTGGGCTGAATCCAAGCCCCAAGTGTTCTCCAAAACATCTCCATTTCTGAGCTGGTTCCGAGCCAGCTCTTTTTCAAGCTGCCTCTGGGTAACGTGGAACCTGGACTTCTTGATAGCAGACAAGGGAAAAATAATCTTTCCTACTCAACATGCACAGTATTTGATTTTTACAGTTTGTTTCTTGTAAAGTTTCATCCATCTGAAAGACTCATTAGTAGTTTTACTTAAATATTTCATAACAAAAGTGCTCAAGTTTTGCTTGCTGGCCTCTGCTGCTCGTCCTCCCCCTCCTCACTCCAGGACACATTTATGGGGGGAAAGCATTTCATTTTCAGCATTAAATGAACAGAAGGGAGAAAAGGGAAAGAAGCAGGGAATAATTCTTAACCCTGCTTTGAAACAAGCATTCCTCACTCAGGACAGAGACAGAGCTGGAATTATGCCAGAAGAGAACCCAAAGAATTCAGGAAAAGGTTTTGGAGCCTCTTATGACTGAAAAATCAGAGTAAAAGTCACCCCAGCATTTGAGACAAGGAAGATTCTGAACACATGCAGCCTACATGTGGTGCAACAACTGTCTGCTTTCACAAAACAGCACACAGCAGGAAGAGAAAGGAATTCAAACACAGCACTAGAAAACAAATCTCTTTGAATTCAAGAGAAATCAAAAAGTCTTACCTTGGTGAACCCTATTTGCTCCTTCCGAAAATTTTCCAAAGGTTTGATCAGCAAATCACTAGCATTCTGTACCTAACATGCAGAGAAAGGAACACTGTAATTACAGGGCACAGATTCATTTTCTCCATAACAGAGGCTGAGCAGGGCTGGAAGCCAAGAACTCCTTGATCTTTTCTAAACGAAAATCTTTTCTGGCTCCAAACTTGTGCTCTGTCCACAGGTGAAGTCTCTTAACCTCCTGTATCCGCTTGTTTCCATTTGTAATGCATGGAAAACATGAACCACAGCCCATGAAGCTTTGTGAAACTCTGGTAATTAGCAAAAGGGTTTCTCCCCCCCTGCCATATGCACATGCACCGGCAGACAGTGAACCAGATCTCTCTCCCCCATGTTCGTTGTTATTCCCATGAAATCCCCAGGGCCAACCAGAGCTGGAGCCCTTCAGGACGTGCCTGGTGCCAGCTGCAGGCACACGGCCAGGGCAGGCTTTGCTCCTGGTGCCCCTGCAGACCCAGCACCAGAACCAGGCTGGGAGCCTCTGTTCAGACAGCACAGCTGTACGAGCCCTACGTCCATGACAGCACCACGACTGCTGTGTGTCAAACTGGTGAAGAAGGGAAGCCTGCCCTGGTCTCCCATGTTTTACAGAAGGGAGAGGGGAAGAGAAGGGGATGTGACACTGCACGGTGCAGCCCTTTCAGGCAGTTTAAAGCTGGTGAACATGATGAGAGTACGAAACATCCTGCAAGAACTACTATAAAGAGACTGGTCCTGCAAGTGGAAAGCAAAACCAAAATAATTGGAAAAGTCAGCTACGTTCCAAGAAAGCATCCATGACTGCTGGAACGACCCCTTCCACTCATTTACCCATGGCAGAACGAGCCATTGCCTGGGCTGTAAATAATACAGAAATATCATGCTCTCCTGCAGCCTGTAACTGCTTTCCTCCCATTGCCCTCCCTGCCCATGGACGCACAGGGCATTGCAGCAGTGCCCCGCTGGTGCTGCCAGGCACGAGCTCCCACTGCTGCACGAGGCAGGAGCAAACAGCGCCAAGCAGCTAATTCCTGGCATGCTGTAAAAGCTCTCCACAGAGCCCAACCTTTGTGTTTTTCCTGGAATTAAGAGCAAAATGGAAAGCCAACACTAGCTCTGTGTTGAGGAGTTTCGAAGATGAAGAGGGCACATGAAGCAGGGAGCAAATCTTCCTGCAGGAGCTGCGTGCAGGGAGGGCAGCTGCACAGCAGGACAGTGCACACTGCCACTGGGGAGAATGAAGCCAGAAATGCACCCAGAGTCAGCCCGGCAGTGCAGGGCTGTGCAGCAGAGTGGCTGCACAGCATGCAGGAGAGGTTTGGGTGCTGGTGTGGAACTGCCCATCCCATCCAGCACCTCTCCCTCTGCTATTTAGGACATGGGCTGCAAATACAGTGTCCTGCTGCTGTGGCTCCTGCATGACAAGAAGCTTTACACCAAGCTGCGTGCTGCAGCTGGGCCATGATTTAGCATTTACAAGATACAACCAGGCAGCAATTACCAGAAGACTGTTAGAATCATCTTACCATCATTGATCTCTCGAGCTCTACCTCCTGGAGAAGCTCTGCGAACTCCTTGAAGGACTCAGCTGCAGGGAGAACAAAGATAAAGTCAACGTGGCAGTGCTGGACAGGCTGCTGGAAGGTGTGCAGAGCTCCTGTGCTGGGTCCATCCCTGCAGCCACGAGCAGAGCTCACCCCGCACTGCTGGACAGCCAGGAGACATGAGCACTGCACAGCTGGGAGAGCCGTGGGGCCCTTGCTGGGCCAGGACAAGATGTAAAAATACCCAAACAGCAGAGATTACGTTCAGCAACAAAAAGCACAAAGTCGTTGTGATGAGGAAGGAAGGGCAGCAGCTGTTGAAAAGGTTCGGGTACTGACAGCGCTCTGCAGTGTTCAACAACGAAACAAAAAGAATCTTCGGCAGCAGCATTTTTCTTGGAGTCCAACTGAAACAAAATTACTATGAGGCCTTTCCTTTAGCAAACTGAAAAAGCAAGATTTGTTCAGTCTGGTGGAAAAAAAGAGAGCAGGTGGGAACAGCAGAGCGCCTTCCAGGAAAAGGAGGGAATGAATGAATGAACCACACACAGCGAGGCACACAAAGCAATAGCTTGTGCCATAGATAAGGGACAGGATGCATTTTTGCCATATCTGCAAGCTGAGGGCTCCACATCCCCAGGCAAAACCTTTGGAAAAGCACCTGTCCTGCTGGAAGCTGCCGTGATGCTGCAGTGCAGTGAGCCAGCGTGAAATTGTGGAGTTAAAGGACTCAATCTGCAGCTGATGAGACAGACACAAAGCAGAGAAACCACAACCTCGTGATGCAGTCAGTCAGCTGGCACCATCAACACACAGCACAGCTCTCCCGACAGTCAGTGCTTTCTGAGTTCTGCTCCACGGTGAAGGATTGAGAGGTGCACACACACAGGCACTAGGAGCCAAGTGCAAGGAGCCTGAGCTAGCAAAGGAGTTAACACAGGGCGGAAAGGCCTCCAGCCATGGAGTTATAGGGAAAATGTCAGCACCTAGAAGTTTTTGCTGATGTGCATTTCTTCCCCTGCAGGAACACAGGCATGCGTGGCCTGGCTGCAGCCACACAGCGGCCCCCAAACACATCCCACAGTGTGAGTGCAGGCTCCCGTTGCAGTGCCAGCATTGCAGTCCCGACCCACAGCACTCAAAACCACTGCCTTGGGTGCATGGGTGTCAGCTGTGCCTGCCTACACGAAAAGAACAAAGAGCAGCACCAGTTGTATTTGCACACGTTCCCTGACGGGCGATAAGAGCTCAGTCATGTTTTGCTTCGTTCCCATATCTGTGATCAGAGCAGCTCCTACGCTCACACGCTGCTGTGTTCTTCAGAAGCCCGACAGCTTCTGGAGCTGCTATGGAGATGCCAACACCCTGCTCGTGTTTTGGGAACAAGAAAGACTTGCAGAGCAGCTCAGCCCTGAGCAGACGCTATAGGCTTGCAGTAAGAGGAGGCACACAGTACAGACATCTTCACACCAGGTGATACAGGCCCTCTTCCCAAAAAAAGCAAAACAAATATTTCCCAGCAAAAACAGAAAAGGGTTTTGCTGCTTTAAGCGTCTTACATCTCCTCTTCTCTCCGCTGCCCATACAGCTGCTTGCTTTAAACCTCTCTGCTCCCCCAGGGTTCTTTAGAATGCAACAGCTCTCCCTGCACTACCCAAATGTGTTTGGAAATGCAGCACCTCTATTTCCATTTGGTTTGGAAGCTGACTCACTTCCAGTAGGCTTCACCTAGCAACTTTCCATAAAGGGAATTAGATTTGAAGGGCACACCACAATCCACTTTGAACAGCTTTAAATAACACAACCAGCAGAGCAGGCTCTGCTTCCTTCCCCTTCCTGCGCCAGCTGAGACCTGACATCAGCATGTCCCACTTGCAGCTCCTTGCAGACTGACAGAAGATGCCATTATTTCAGAAATGCCCCACAGCCTCCATTGCAGTGGGAGATTTCCTACTGCCCCTGCGTGCCCCCTCCTGCCCCAGCCCCCCTAAAGCAATGCCACAGCTCAGCCAGCAGCAGAAGCACTCAGAAACACATTGTGCTTAAGGTGCTCCTTGCATTCCTTGGGTGCAGCTGGCATATGCTGGGCTGGCAGGGAGGAATCACTCTGGATTGCTAATCCTAAACCAGAAGGGTGGGGAGCAAACACCGACTGGGGACTATTTCCCATTCAACAACACTTCCAACAGGCTGATGTTACTGGCAGTCTGCAGCACAGGGCTGCCCTGTACTTGCAAGATGCCTGCAGCAGAGCTAAGCAAGAGCAGCAGCATCAGAGGACATGAAGCAAAGCACCTCATGCTCCCTCTGCACTGGAAATGTGGGTTGAGCCTCAGGACCACCAGGGGAGGGGAGTGTGTTCCCTGCAGCACACTGTGTCAGTGCTGGTTGGGCACAGTGGGACCATGGAGAGCCAGTGTGAGTGCCTGCTGGGCTGAGGAACCTGGTCCTGGCTCTGTTCAGAAACCATCAGCATAGGCAGATTCCTAAAGAAAGAGACCTTCTTAGTAAGTGAAAGCTTGCATCAAAAAGAAGAAAACTCACCAATATTAATCTCGTCATCTGTTAGGGTGTCACCAATAAAATCAAACTGAAAGGACTGCAGAGTCTGGGAGAACTTCTGTACTGCCGAGGAGTAACCTGGAAAAGGGCAAAGAGATGGCTGTGTTCTTACAGTGCTCATACAGAACCCTTAGGAAATTTACTCTGCGTGGAAAAATACAACACAGAGTGATGTGGTTAAAAACAACCCAGTGTCACCATGAATTTGCTTTTGGTTGCTTTGTGTAGAGGCAGAAATAATCACAAGGAAACGCAGGACCCAAACCAAGAGCCGCCGGGGGTCAGACAGTGCAGCAGCTGCCGGGGGAGCTCCCGGCCCCAGGCAGGGACACTTCCTGAGGTGCTGCAGCTCAGCCCCAATTATTTTTGGACTTTGCAGAGACGTTTCCAGCCAAAGGGATCCTTTGTGTCCTCGCATCCTGTGTGGCTGCTCCGCAGCTTTCTGAGTGGCTCCTTTGTTGACATGGCTCTGATTACATTGGCAGAACCACTCCACAGGGACGGGCGGCATGAATGCAGGGCAGCCCCAGCCAGGCAGCGACCTGAGGGATGGCAGCCAGAGGGACACGGCCGTGGGGATGGGGATGGCAGCCATGCATCAGTGCTGGCAGCGCGGGCTCCTTCCAACAGCAGACACCTGAGGCACAGACGGGCTGACCTCACCTTACGTACGGCCAACAGGGTGTGGACATAACGCAAAAGCAAATGAATCATTTCAGACTTTGGTTTACGGCTGTTTTCCCTAACTTTGGACTGCACAGAACCAGACCGGACCCCTCGGTGGAGGAGCACCGGAGCCAGAGCTCTGAGAAATTCAGGAAGTGACAGACGTGGAAGAGGTGAAGGAGCAGATGTCAGTGTGCAGAGAATGGCCAAAAATGACAGTTCTGCACAAACATACAAATCAGTGAGGAACTGCCCCTGCTTAAGTGTGGGCTACTATCATAGAATCACAGAATCACAGCATGGCCTGGGTTGCAAAGGACCACGATGCTCATCAGTTCCAACCCGCTGCTGTGTGCAGGTCACCAACCAGCAGCCCAGGCTGCCCAGAGCCACATCCAGCCTGGCCTTGAATGCCTGCAGGGCTGGGGCATCCACAGCCTCCTTGGGCAACCTGTGAACAGTGCTTCACCACCCTGCGTGAAAAACTTCCTCCTAATATCCAACCTAAACCTCTCCTGTAATATCTGTATTTATGGCCTGTAAGAGGAAGAGGACACAGACTGGAGGCACAGCACAGCCCCAAGTTGCTCACTGAGTTTGCTCAGAAGGGTCAGAACTTTGCCCTTCAATGGGTAGATTCAAGCCTGAATGTGGCCATTTAGCAACCAGCTGCTAGGAGAGCCTGAGAGCGTCAATGGGTGAACTCTGGCACAGAATGATGTCATTAATTTGGTGGAAAACCTCCGCAAATAATTCACTTTCAGTGCCCGCAGCACTCAGTGCATTCACATGCTGAGCCCAGAGGCTCCTATTCACTCCTTACTCAGGCAGAGCTTTGTTCCTCCCTGCTAACCATTCCTCCCTGCTAACCATTCCTCCCTGCTAACCATCCCCTCGCTGGCAGCCCATGACTGCTCCAGGACCTCCCACTGCTGCCCACACCTTGTGGATCTGTCAGCCCTAATCCTGGCCCTAACCCCAACCCCAGCCCTAACCTGGACTCAGGGACCCGCAGCACTTTTCCCTCTGGTGTCAGCCCAGCACTGTGCCCTGCTATCAGAATGTTCCTTGGCCAGCTGAGTTCCTTTATTCCTTTTTTATAGGAATGGGGTATGGCAAGAGCAGAGGATTTGAAAAAGCCAAATGCAATTTATTTAAAACCAGAAAAAAAGAAACCGTACAACTGATTTAAGTTACATTTTCCTTTCAAAAAGCAGTCTGGCCTGGAGTCTTACGTGCCAAGCTTCAAGCTGAAGCAAAGCCAGGTGGACTATAAACCACATCTCACGTTAGCTTAACGGCGAAAGAGGGCCAGAGCCCCTTAATGGGTCTGGCACCATTGGGTTTCATTTGACATAGGAATTTCTTCTCTTTTTGGAGGGATGCCCTCATCTCACTGCTGGCCCCAGCAGCGCCTCCTTGGTCCTCACCCCAACCACACCTCAGAGCCCACGGCTCCCAGCAGCTCCCAGCAGCATTAGTGGTTCCCAGCAGCTCCCAGCGACTGATCTCTTTCCTGCAGTACAGGAGCAAACCAGCACAATGCTTCAAGAACAACCACAGCCTCGGTGCCAGCTCCTGTTCTCTTCCTTTCTTTGCAGTATAGGGGTTGCTGTACAGCACCATTTACGTTCCCTAAACAAACAGTCTTGGCTTTCCATCCTCACAGAAAACTCCCCAGCATGAATCAAGGCCAGGTTGCTGCTGTGATCCATTCAGAATCCACACGGCGAAAGCCATTGCAAGAACAAGGGTGGTGGTGGCTGTCACCACATCCCCAGGGTGCACTGCCATCATAGGGAGCTGCCACCTGGGCAGGGCTCCGTGCACGAGCCTGTTTTCTGGATACAAAGGCGAGGGATGCCCAAGGAACAGCCCTTAAGGTGCCCTGGACAGAACATGACCACAGGGGCAGGGAAGCAGGAGGTGCCCAGTGCTTGCAGATGGATTCTGCAATCACACCAGGTCTAGGGTTGGGAAGGAACTGAATCAGCTGGAGGGAGAAGCAGTGCTGTTAACGTCTGGCATGGCTCTCAGAGATCACTTAATGGAAACCAGATTCCTACAGACCAACACTACTTGTCTGTACACACGTATGGAGCCTTGGCTGAACACTGATTTCTGACAAATCCTACATATACACTATAAAGACAGCACTGGGTACTCTTATAGTAAGAAAACCACTATTGCTACGATGGGAGTTTATTGGCAAATGAAAGCAGGGATGGTTCTGGCACCTGCCCCAGCTGCAGAAGTGCCTGCTGGCAGCCAGCCGCAGCAGGCGCAGCACGAGGGCCGAACCCGTGATGCACAGGGGCCCCCAGCATCTGCATTTTCCCTCATTTTCCTCCCCTCTGATGCAAACACACGGCTGCCAGGCGTGCAGCTCCTGCCCGCTCCCAGCCTTTCACACTCACAGCACAGAGCTGGAAGTGAACGCCCTGGGCTCTGCTCGGCCCCAGCAGCGAGCAGGGAGCAGAGAGGAGCAGGAGCACAGGGAGCAGAGAGGAGCAGGAGCACGGTGCTGTAATTGCAAACCAGGACAGCACATCAGAAAGCAGGCACAGCTCATCCTGTCCAACACCGGAACATCTGATGGCTTCATGTCAGCATTAAGGGCCCTGCTGGCTCAGCACAGCTTGTTTCCGTGGAAACGCAGCAAAATGAATTTGATCAGAAATCCTCTGGGACTCCCTTCCTTGCAGTGTTCAGCACACGGCGCTGGCTTTCACAACCTGTAGCCACAGTAACCTGTTCTTCTAGGAAAGATGAGGTCCAACCACTCAGCAGAGGACAGAGCTGACCAGCAGCATCTGGCAGCAGGAGGGAATGAGCACCCAGTGCAGCCCCTGCACGGACACACGCGCTGCAGAAGGTCACGTCATTATATTGATGTGTAACAAAATCACCTCCAGAGATTGCAGCTACTTAAGGATGTGCCCCGGGTCCCACAAAAGATTTCAGCAAAGAAAATGGGGTTTCTCATCCCAAACATCCATGGGATTATAGTGGTCCCCTGCTGCCAAGTGAAACGTGTCGCTGTGTTCCCAAAACCAGAATGTCAGCAGCAGCTGCTGGTGATGGCTGCAGGGGCACCAGCACCTCTGTGCTCCTGCAGGGCAGGGCTGTGCTGCCTGGTGTGAGCCAGACACGGGGTGGTCTGGGTGGGAGGGATGCACCCACATTCTTCCTCAGCTTTGGTCACTTCAGAACTCTTTCTAGTGTCCTGCAGGGAGCAGCGCAGTGGGATACGCAGAACACGAGAAACTCCTCTTCCACGAGAAAGAAAGGGCTGTAAAGCCCCACAGGGGAGAGAATGTCTCCATTGTTAGTAACTCCCACTGAATAATTCTGCAGGGAGCTGCATGATAAAGGAGTTCATCCGTCCACACTGCAGTCCAAGAGTGGAGGTTTCACAGTGTGCCCTGCTGCTCAGAGCGCTGCCTGCAGCACGGCGCGGCCAGTCGGCACAACCATGCAGGGCTGCTGCAGTCACACAGCATGCACTGACTCCACCAAATCCCCAAACATCGTCCCACCAACATACCTCAGCTCTGAAATCAATGGAGCTGCCCTGGCTGCACACAGATGTGTCATTAAAGCCGTGAGTAATCAGCCCTGACTCAGTGCCTTCAGGAACAGCGCTCTACAGCTGCCTGAGCACAAAAACATGTTGATTTTTTCAGATGAGAAAAAGAAAAATCTTCTGGATAGCCTTGTAGGCAGTTCCAAAGGCACAGAAGTGTCTTGATAGGGAAGCAGTGCCCCAGCGCTCGGAACACGAGGGAGGCTTACAGGCAGGTAATTAAAACGGCCCCTCTCCGAGCAGACAGCGCTCCTCTTCAATGCTGGCAGGTTCTCTGCAGGTGCCCTGCAGCCTTCTGGATCCATGGGAATTCACATTTCACAAAGGCCTCTCTTCAAACGCTGATTTGGGTTTTCCATTTGCCAGAAACAAATGGCCAACCTGAGCCGCAGATGAGAGACCAAACCCAGCAGAACACACACAGAGCTCCACAGCACCAAGGCTGCTCCCAGCCAGCTCCCAAGGAGCCCTCCAGCCTTCCCCAGCTTCCAGCTCTGATGTGGGCAATGGATCAGCTCAAGCAATGCAACAAAAGAAGGAACAAACCTCCTGAAACTGCAAACAAGCACAGGCTGCTCCCTGGCATGGCAGGGCACAGGTTCCTACTGCTGTCCCCACACAGAGCTGCACTGCAGCATCACTGCTGCTGCAAAGTCACTTCTGCTGCGTTGGCACCACTCACAAACTAATGCTGCTCACCACAAGCAAGGGGCAGAACTCGGCTCTGAATGCACGACCCCTGAAAGAGCAACACTTCACCTCTAACATTTTTATGGCATTTCGACCTGACCCAGAGGTCCGCAAAGCTGGAGCAATTCCTTCAGCA